CATAAACCAAAAGACATTGTGCTGTCCAACCCCACGAACAGATATTTTTGCTCACCAGCCTGGTGATGGTACAAACAAATAAGATAAATAACCAAAAACTTTCCTACAATTAAAATCTTAAGAATGGACAAGCACGCCTTTGTGCCTATGCCATAACAATTCATAATTGAAGTTTTCAATTTGGTAAGAGATTCTGAACCCATGATCATTCATATTTTTGCATCATGAGAGACATAAGGTGAACATTAGTGTTCATTGCACTTCCTCACGGAGGTACTAACTAATTATCTGCAGGTGAGTGAAGCAAAACATACAAAGCGATGGACTACTTCAAATATTTGCATAATATGAAAGTCAGCAATAGTAATATTTCCAAGAATTTGAAATTCAACCATTAATGCCGAAAGATAGCTACAGGAAAAAAATAACGAAAAACCAATTACTCAGGCTGCATAAAAGTCTAAATAAACTTTTCAGAAAATGACTTTATGGAAACAAATGAGACCTTTATGTTTCCTGTTAACATCTACCATTCTGTTGTCAGCTACTAAAAATAATAGATAATTACGAGAGAGAGAGGGAGAGAGAGAGAAGGGACCTGAAGAGTGATGCTATTTACACGTCCACTTCTTCCCAATTGCCCATTGATGCTATACTTTGAGTAGAAATCAAATGAACCACCAACCACTGGTACACCAAAATTATCATGATTCCCTCTAAGATCATAGAAGATGCTCTTATCAAGTCCACTCCTTTCCACAACGTCCTCCATTGTATTCTTGTATTCCACCCATTCCTCTTCATTCTGCCTCATTACTAGCAAATCCTTGCTTTTCCCATCTGTTGATTGAAGACATATTATTTAAGATGAATCATCCAATGTGATCATAATAAAGGTGGTCCATAACACCATTTATTGTGGACTCTTATCATATTGCCATAAGTCATAACCTTGATGACTTCAGGAACACGAACTATACCCAGGCAAGGCAGAGTTATGGAATTTACCATCCTATACACCTTGGATGCATTTGTGACCTTAAGTTGTTACGCTAGCAGGATCTTATGAGAATAGACAAAAGGGACTTGAAAAAGTTGGAATGTATTTGAACTTAAAACGATAAAGCAATGCCTACATTATCCAAGTTTCAGGCTCTGTGCCCTTTTGTTACTCAATGCCAGTGGGAATAAACAATAGAAACCAAATTACTATTTCAAAAAAGAAGTAATATGGCTGCCATTTCTTTTTGAAATTTTCTCTTTTTTAAGAACATCATATAAATTCCTTCTAATGCGTAAAAATAGAAAAATTTACCACTGAGAGCCCACGTATTTTCTTCTGCTCTCAGGTTCTCACTCCAGGTGAGAAGATGACACTAAGATGCAAGTAGATAGACATAACAAGCACACTAGAGCACAGACCGTTGTGGCACATTGTTATGCCTTTGCAGCAACATTCTGACTAAACTATTGCCTTAACAAGCATCAACATCTATCATATGGAAAATTATAATCAGAGTTGGAAGCTCATAGATGCACATAGAATTTCTAAACAGAACCTTTAATTAACCGGAAAAATTAGAACAGTTGAATCAAGCTAACATATAATTTCCCCAAGCACAATATGCATTAACAGGCTCTTCACCAAATCCTACCCCCATCCAAGCAAATTTAAAAAATAGCCTATTGATACAAAAGCCATTGAATTTATAGACTGATATTATGAACAAGAATATCCATAAAAATTCAATATTAAACAAAAATTATTAAGGAAGACTTGCATATAATTTCCTTCCCCTTTTCAAACCAAAAGTCAGCCAAAAAAAAAAGGAAAACCTTCCATACAAACAAATAATTCAACACAAACCCAAAATTCAGGATCATGATTTCTCATAAAACAAAGGCTCAAGCAAGAAAAATTCACCCATCGAGCCAAAATCATCAAAGTTAAAAGAAAAGAAGAAGGAAAACGAAGCATAAATTTAGACCTGTGAGATCACCAGTGATGAGGACAAGAGATGGGTTGATCATGGAAAGAGCAAGAGGCAGAAGGGTCTTAAAGTCAAAGGCTCTGTCAGGATGGTGAACACTGAAATGGAGATCAGAGAGCTGAACCACCCACACCACTGATTCCGGACCACCTTTTACATCGATGACTGTTCTATGAGGAGAAAATGAGGATGTTTGGTCTTGCTGTTGAGCATGATAAGTGGGTACTTTCAGGCATAACAAAAACAGAAGGAGAATCAAAACGAGAATGCCCATGTTCCCAACTATCATTTGCTTTCCTCAGAAATGGTGGTTTTGCTTTGGTTTGGACTTTGGACCTGTTGGTTCCCTCTTCAATGAACTAGCTTTATGGATGTCGCCGGCAAAGTCGTCTGTCAAACAAAAATTATTTAAAAAAAAGAAATCCACCTCCATTTTTGTGTTTCAATTTTCTATGACATATTATGGTTTTTTCTCTTCCTAAAAAATTATAAAATATCCCTAAAATAAATTAATTAATTAACTTTAAATTAAAATATTTTTATTAACATAAGACTAAAGCCTCCAAATCCGGCTCTGCTTCATTTATAAGGTATTGCTGTGTAATTTACTTGGCGAATTTTGCTGTAAGGTAATCATTTGATTCTTCATTATTTGACCTTTTAATTTTCTTTTTTTTTTTTAGTTTTGCAATTAATTTTTTCGAGCTTCTCATTTGATTCTTGAATTCTTTTATTTATCCAAAAAACAAATTTCTCCAATACTTTGTTACGTATTTAGTATATCCAATTTCTTAATTTTTAAAGTACATTTTTTATATAATTATTTTGACATTTTCAATATATATTTTGAATTTTGCTTTTATATGATTTCTTTTTTTATTTTTTGTATATGACTTTAGTTTTTTCAATTACAATTTTGGAAATGATGAAAGGAATTCTATTTTTTTATCAAAAACATGTACTAATTGCTAATTTGATCCTCTTATTTTGTAAAATTAAAACATAATTATATTTATTGTGGATATTATTTGAGTAACTCTAAATATAATAATATGAAAACATTTATGTCAATTATGTTTAAACCTTTTTTTTGAAAAGTTTGTTTAAACTTATTTATTTATTTTAGATATTATTTCATTAGGTATAATATTTGAAAAAACTCCTAAATTGTTCAAAAAAATTTAAATGAGCTTTTATTATATTGCGTTTGATCAAAACCTATATATTTTTAAGTAGGATAAAATAAATCTTTTTTATAAATAGTTGACTAATAATTATTAATTAAAATACCATTTGTTATTTTTATACTCATGTGATACTGACGTAAAAAGTAAAAATGATATATAATTGTATTATTATGTCACATCAACATGACATATTATCATCTTTTAAGATATATCAACATACCACATATCATCACGTGAAATAGAATTATAAGTAACATTTTAACTATTAATTAGTCAATCATTAATTATAAACGTTTATGTAACTTAAAACAAAAATATAAGAATTTAATTGAGAGTAATAAAAAAATAATAATTTATTTATATTTTTAAAATGATATAAAAAAATTTTAGATATTATGTCACTATTATTTAATTATTTATTAACTTATTTTTTGCTAAAAAAACATTCAATTGATGTATTTTGACTCTAGCTATCCTTGTTACCAAATAATAACCCTATTGTGCAAAAATTAAAAATAAAATATAATAAATAATGGACATGACATGAGTACAATATATTTATACATAAATTAACCTATTTAAATATAAATAATAAGTTATTTTATGGTTGAAGTACCCATTTAGTCTCTATATTTTGATATTTTCTTCAATTTAATTATTCTACTCAAAATTATGATAATTTAATCTATTGATTTTGAAAATTAGTTCAATTAATCTATTCAATATTTTCAATTTAAATTGATTGTTATAGTACTTACATCAGTACTAACATGGCATGTGAGGTGGATTCAAGGTGTTAATATGACATTGCCATGTCAGCATATCAACACCAATATGACTCTAGATGCTGACGTGTTATATGAAATGGGTTTGGGTTGTTAACATGGTATAAAAGATGTTTTTAAAAGTGTAAAAAAACTTTAAATCGAGTACTTTTGAAGAAAGAAAGGAAAAAAAGAAGAACAAAAAAAGAAATAAAAGCAAGATGAAATCAAAAGTAAAGGCTTAAACATGGTGGTAAGGATTTGGTGTGCTTGTTGGAGAAGAAGGAAGAGAAGAAGAGAGTGAAGTGGTGTATCGTAACCTCCATTTGAACGAGTGAAGTGGTAGCCTACGTTAGCATCATAATATCCATTTGAACAAAAAATATACTAATAGCCTATGTCAATACTGTAACGTCCATTTGAACGAAAAATGTTAAAAGAATTAAATTATCATAATTTTAAATAAAAAGATTAAATTGAAAGAAATGTCTAAGAGCAAGAACGAAATGGGAACTTTAATTGTTATTTTATATATTTTAAATATTAATAATTCAATAAATAAATTTAAATATTTATTTAGATTAAATATGTTAGATGATTAAATTATCGTGATATTAAATAGAAGAACTAAATTGAAAAAAACACCTAACTATATGAACTAAATGAGTACTTTAACCATTATTTTATACATTTTTAATATTAATAATTCAATAAATGAGTTTAAGTGACTTGCTAAATATGAAAATCAAGTGCATTAAGAAAGATGGCTTCCAAAAAGGGAGTTTCCTGTTTCGGTTTGATTTGTATTAAGTATTCATATGGGATTAATTAAATATTTATTAATATGTTATACTAATAACACAAGTCAACCTGCAATATGAATATTTTCATGTTAAAACACAGATACGATTATACAAGATATTTAACCCCTTTTTGTCATCCTCGTGTCCATCACTTTTTCGTGGGTTTTGTATTGGGCCGGGGACCCGAATCCATGCTAGCCCCCAAGAAAACATGATGTCCATTTTCCTTTTGGTCATTCCAAACCGCTATGGTTTTTTGTTTTTTATTTTCTTCTGTTGCCGAGAGTCTGACCTGACCGCTCACCCCTTCTGTGTGCTAACAAGCTACGAAGTCTCAACACTTATAGAGATTGAAGGTTTGGGTTTCAAATTAATTTCATTTTGCTTTACTCGGGTGAACTTCTAGGATTAATTATGCAGTCATTTCTGGCATTACATATTCAGTATGTTTTCTTTCTCCTCTTCATGCAATTTCAACTTTGGGAATCTTAAGAATGCCCATCAAGATGTTATTAGGCTCGTTGTGCAGTGCCTACCAATGGAAGGAAGTTTGTGTTTTTGTTTCGCTATAATAAGCTGATAGGTTTTGTTTTTGGATGTTTATCATAGGAGCGTATTGAGCACTTGTTCAATGCCTTTCTTGAGACCGGCTGATGTTATTTGAAACATGTCTTGTGCCAACTATGGTGATCTTAGTGATTCGTAACATGTTTTTAGCAACGGAGATCTATGAATTTTGTTTCTTTATATGATTATGGTGACGACTTTGAAATTCCAGAATGACTACGTTGCCTTGCTTCCTTGTAATTGGTGTAATTTTCTTTCCTTTTACCTTTGCCTTGCTTTTGAATTTATTATGCATCACTGTTTATCCTGTCAGCTTGAACAACTCAGTACTTCCTTCTTCATTTTGAATGCCCATTAATTCTTAATATTTGTAACTTGCCACTCTAGAGACAAGTTTTTCTTAAGTGCTATATTTGGAAGTCATGTATGAATAAAAGTTTTCGGTGGTCCAATGATGCATAAGATTTAACATTTGGGTAGAGATTGTGATCTCTCTGGAGCAGCATGGGTTTTTTAGGAATAGCCTGGTGATTGTCAATTTTGAAAGCACTAAAGTTTTCGCACTTGTCAAAGTTGGAGATATGAACTTAACAGCAGAAAAGATTTGATGTTTTAAGCTTTAACATACTGAGTTTACAGATTCTCTGTTTGCAGTCCATGGCCTGTCAAGTGGGAAGAATGTATCTTCAGGCAGGTTTGTCAATGTTGGAGAATGAAGTCCTTGAAAGTTCATGTATGACCCTTGCGACTTGTGCAATCCAGCGGTGGATCATCGAGCCTAGTATATGTGGACAAGCTTCAAAGATTGGCTTAAAGTCTGCACTGTTTCCCAAAAAGAGGTATACTTTGAACTTTTTCAAAATTTTGAGCTGCTGAAGGCTTTCTATGGTCAGAAAGGCCATGATCATGAAAGATTCAGGTAATAGTACTAGTTAGCAAGATATCTCTCCTTGTGATGTTACATTATTGTTACCTGAACTATGACCTATTCCATTAATGTAGAAGTAGACTTGAATTTAGATAAGTACTTTAATTAAAAAAAGAACTGGCTTCTAACTTAGATGCTGTTAGCTGATGTTCTGATTGTTCCCTGGTTATCTGAATTATTGTTAGATGCCCTTTTGAACAAGTCATTTGTTTTTCTCACCTTGAAACAGTTTTTCAACAAGAAAAAGACATGGTTGGAAAATAGCCTTTGCCTTAGACACTGGTGGGGTTTCTGGAGATGGTGGAGAAGATAGTCTCAACAGTGACAGCTCTAATCTTGGTGGTACTCGACTGGGCAGGATAGTAAGTGCAGGCGGCAGACAGCTATTAGAGAAGCTGAACTCAGCAAGAAAGAACTTCCCCATGAAGATATTTCTCCTTCTGTTGGGTTTCTACACGGCAAATGCATTGGCAACTATTCTTGGCCAGACAGGTGATTGGGATGTATTAGTTGCTGGGGTTGTTGTTGCTGCCATTGAGGGGATTGGCATGCTTATGTACAGAAAGCCTCCTTCTTTAAAGACTGGAAGATTGCAGTTGTTTGTGGTAATGGTTAACTATTGGAAAGCTGGTGTGTGCTTAGGTCTTTTTGTGGATGCTTTCAAATTAGGTAGTTAAAGATGAACTTCCATATCCTCCTCTGATGGTGTTGGGGGTTCTTTTTCAATGTATTCTGCGTCTCTTATCACAGCCCTAGGTTCAATTGATAGATGTGCAATTAGGTGAGAAATGTATCATAACTGTTGTCAATGTAATGTGCAAATAATTTTTTTTTTTTTATCTTTCTCTTTCCCAGTTGAACCAAGAACCTATGCAGTTCTTCCCTTCCTCGACGTCCCTGTTTCTCCCGTTCTCCATTTGTTTTCGCCCTTGAAGGGAAATTTTGATTCCATTGTTTTCACCCTTGAAGGGAAATTTTGATGATTGTGATTGAGTTGCAGCAAACAGATTCAATAGAGATATGTTCAATTGTTACTGTGTTTTCATAGATATGTTAAATCGTTATCATGTTTTTGTCACCTATTGTATTTTTGTAGACATTCAGGTAGATGTAACAGATGTGGCTTCTGACTTTCCATCAACGGCGTCTTGTGACCGCTAAGTTTTATTTGAGGCACATTGTTTGCTACATTCATACAAGGGCAGGCCCTTTTTACTGCTGTGCTTAATAGGGGTTTGTATAACTGTCATGGCATGGTAAGTTTGGAAAACAGTTGTGCTGCTGTAATTCTCATGGAAAATTAACATAATTGTCTTAGCTGTCAAAAAAAGGAGTGAACATATGCAGTGGAAACAACTACTGATAATCACAGCCTTACAGGAACAAATTTAATAAGATAAAACAGTGCAGGATGTAGTACAAAAATGCATTCACCCCACATCTCTGACATTTACTTCTCTATATTCTTTTGTGCCTTTCAAGAAACATTCTTTAAACAATTGAGGATCTAGGATGTTGAAATCTTTTGTTTGCTCTGATACAAATGTGTTTTGGTCTTTCCTTACCTTCTTCCTACAATGCATCTTTGGTTAAAGATGTGCATTGCGCTTCAATCCCCGTACGTGAGATCAAACTGTTTGAGGTACGGTTAGCCCTAGGGAGAAACCTGTCAAACACTGAATAGAATCTTGCAAGTCTACACTACATCAACAGACAAGAATGCATTGTCCCAACAAGCACACACCTACAATGGCATTGCAGCTAAGAATTATGCAATCATTTCATTTGGCATTTCACCAGCCAGCCAGAAATGGTTGCTAATCTAGTTGATGAGTACTTTGGCCACATAGACACTATAAAGTTTAATCTTTTTTAGAGGAAAAAGCATGAAAACCAAGAATGCTCTCCATTTTGCTCCATGAAGGAGAGAAATCAAAATGTCTTTTTGAAAATTCAACTACTAGAATTTACATCTATTTTTCAGATGTTTTGTGCTCCAATATTTTGCTTGTTCTTTCATATTTTAGATTTGCACACAATGCACTGAAAAGCTTTACTTGATAGCCAAAGGAAGTAGACTTTGTGAGTATAGAAAATTAAATCAAGCTAATTATTTTCCTCAATGAGTAAAATTTACAAAACTAATATACAAGGTTGGGCTCTTGGGAACTGCAAAACAAGAAACTGGGTGTAGAATTAATCTATTGAACATGCTTTACGTGTTAAAATATTCTTTTTAGCATGGACCAAAAGCCCAAAGGAATATGCACATTTTGCATTGCAATAGCAAAAGTACCTGAGGTTCAGAAGGTTAGACCTCCAGCTTCAATATTGTTCACACTATCTATTTTTCCCTTCAGATTCAATCTTATTCACGCTATCTACTATGTACTGGATCCTTTTTGATAGGCCCTGTGTGTGCTCCTCAATGTGATTGAATAGAAGGTCTATGAATCTTCTAAGTGAAGCGGAGCGCTTTCTTTCAATCAGAAGCTGTTGAGTTAGTTCTTGAACTCTCTTGTCTTCATTCTACAGGACAAGAAATAGGAGAAGCAAAAACCAAATGAGCAACTTAGTTGATAAATAAGGCCTAATGTTTACTTGGCCTGATTGTACAGTTTAGTGAGGTCTCTAATCAAATCATACGTCCTAAAGCAATCTGTAACATTACATGTATGTTGGTACGTATGCACATGCATAACAGAGGACGAAAAAACTTGTCTTTTTAAACTAACATCAGATAGCATGGACTTCTTACACATTTGATAACAAGTCCTCTAACTTTGATGAAAATTTATGTGACCTTAAAATTTGGATTATAAGGAAATTTTATCCACAGTGTATAAGTTTGCAGAAAAAGTGATAAAACTTAATTCTAAATAAAATCAGAATGACAAGTGCACTTATAAGGCAAGAGATTGATGGACAAAATTCTCCTTAACTAATCCTGCACAAATATCAAAAAAGGTAGACCAAAGGATAGCCTAAATAGAAGCCAGCCTTCTCCTCTGAAATGAAGGTCCCAAGGTCAAATGACGTGTTCAAAGCTATATGGAGAAAAAAGAAAAAAGGAATTGCAAAGACATAATTCAATCCTGCAGAAATGACAGTGCAAGAATCAGATAGTTCCATTACACACCATAACCAGCGGATTAAATCATATTAAAATATCTGAAAATGAATTTCATGTAAAAGTAATTGAAGGAACTTTATTTCCAAATCCAATATTCAAATTCCAAATTGCATGCTATTGAGTAGCCAAAAACAAATTAAGTGATTAGTAGCTTACAGTCAAAGAGGTAAACTAACTTGCAGCTGGTTTTGAGGTGATTAAGCAATTAGTGGGAAGCCTAATTACAGTAACAAGGTATTTTTATGAAAATTTAATGTGCTGTTGTGTTTGCTGTTTTATTTATTTTATTTTATTTTCTATTATTTTCAAATAAAAAGTAATAAGCAGTAAAGCACTTTCCTATAACATCTGATAAAGCAACAAGCAAACAACTTTAAGATTCCTAAACAGGATGGGGATTGGCATCAATAGCTCAAGTCAAGGCAATCAAAAAATTTAGCGTGAAACTGGTATTTAGGTCAGGTAAACCAAGGCTCACAGACATCTTTAGTTAACAAAAATTAAGAGACATCTTCATTTAATTAGATAATATTTGGTTTTCTTTAGTGTCCAAACTGAATTTGATATGAGTCAAGTACCAAAAGACAAGTAGCCATTGTAGCAAGATGCAAAAATTGAAAATCATTACATTACAAATTAAATAACAACTTTAACAAGCACTTACTGGGATTTGATTAGAGATCAATGCCTTTTGAGCCTGGCAGCCAGCCAATGGATGAGTGTGCTCCTTTACGAACTTTGTAATGACCCATTTTCCAGTACTCATTTTCCTTATAGATATCATTGCTTTGCAACCCACCCTAGTAGGTGCCCGTGACCTAACATTCTTCACATCACGCCTATAAGGCTTTCGGTAACCCTCTTTGTTACATACAAGTGCTCGAGAAACAATGGATCCATCAATTTTAGATCGATTATGATAGTTCATACGGGTTATGAAACCCATCCGCATGCCATATGCACTATAAAATGCATGTGCTGCCGCTTCATTTTCGAACTCCTGACCTACATACGGTTCATCCCCTTCAACCACAGTTAACTGAACTCCAGAAGAATTTAGAGTTATTTTATCATTTTCTTCAACCTGGGAGCCATATGGAACAGAACTTCCGGCCTTTGTTCCATCATTACCAAGATGGTGCTCAAAATTAGTTGCATTATCTAACACCTCACCACGAATATCATTATCAGTTTGTTCGAGTTGAACATCATTACCAAGCTGATGCTCCTTATCAGTCAAATCATCTAACACCTCACCACGAGTAACATCAGTTTGTTCAAGTTGAACACCATTATCGAGTTCAGTTTCCACTGCAATATATAAGAAAAAAAAAGCACTAAGGAATTACTTTCAATTCTTATAAGTATTAACACACAAACTGAAGCAGAAAGTATGTAAGTCCATCTCCACTCTCTACAATTAACCTGAGACAAAGATTTTCTGCTTAAAATTCAGAACTTTTAAATTCATTTCAATAGGAAACTACAATCGTCAAACTAAGGTAGGTTCAAACAATTAACAGTGAATAATTTTTGTTCCTTCTTTTGATAAAGTGCAGTGAACTTGGCAAATATATAATTAACATCACTTAGTGACATCATAAATACAAAAAAAAAAAGAAAGAACATAAAAGTTGGCAGAAACTCAACCTTTTTTATTTTATTTCATAATCTTTTCCATAAATCACATAAATATCAGATCACCAAGATCACATGTTTCCACAAAATAAAGATTATAAAAGGAGCTTTGAACTCAAAAAGCCCACCATTTTGATATTTAAGACAAACCCATCTCCTGATTCTAAAGACAAAATAATTACCAGCATTCAATTTTGGGTTTTGAAATTTATTCTAGAGAATTTACAGCCACTTGGATCAATCCTTCGAGTAACTTCCCTCCAAAATTCTCATTACATAAGAAACATTCATTAAAATAATGTAGGAAAAAAAAACTTACTGAATTTTATGGTTTTTACAGCTGAAGATCGAAAGATCATACACTGGGCTCCACATACATGTTTAAGAGAGAGAGAGAGAGAGAGAGAGAACTTTTCTGTTTGGTTAATGGGAAAAAAATTCGATGGAAACAGAGAAAAGGGCAGCTTGCTGTCCGGTTAGTTACAATGCCACGTTTCAAATTATCAGAACCGTTGGTTCTGTCAAATTCCTAGGCGAAAGGAATGTGGACGGTTTAGATTGCCGCTGACAGAAATCGTCTATGATTGTTCAAAGATACATTTGCCGATTCAGTGTGGTTCCTCAGAGGAATTTACAGAAACACAAACGAATTTTAGTTTTTGTTAACATTTATATGAAAATAATTGGATAAGTAGCTGTCTTAAGTTATATATATATACACGTGTAACACTCTCTTTTTAGAGTAAAAAAGAATATTATTTTCTTTTAAATACATTAGAGAATTATTTTATTTGATTGAATATATATCACCATATCCTGTTATAAATAAGAAAAATAAACATTAATTTGAGTTTATTGAAAGGAATCTAAAATTCAATTATTTGCTATAATTATATAAAACAAAATCTTTTTTTTATTGATTGAGATAAAAATTAAACAAAAAGTCTAGGTGTAAAGAGACTCAAATTAAGGTTGCATATGATTCTTGCATTTTAAATGTTAAATTGAATCGACTCAAATTTCATCTATTTCAATTAATTAAGTCCTTTGCTTTTGAATTTAAATATTTTTAATTTATAAATATTATCTTTAGTTTATTTATTTAAATTTAGAAACAAAATAAATTTTTTATTCCCAAATTATAGTTTTCTTTACTAAGCATGAAACAATTTCATGTGAGTAGCCTTACGAGCACTGAGAAGCAAAGGGGACTTTTCGCCAGAGTCATCATCAGTTGGGTCACATCTAATTGTGTATTGCTTACACCTTCAAGACAAAAAGGAAGTGATAAACTCCTTTTAATTTTATATTGTCATGCCACCTTTGTTTGTGGGTTCAATGGAAGGACACTGTAGGCTCTTCTTCTTAGTCACCAAATGTGAAATGTTCCCTTTCTTTTCTGGGATGCCATTTCTATTTTCTAACCAAGTTCCTCACATCTTATGAACAATCAAGAATATATATATATATATAATTCTCCAAAGACAACCTACTTTTGATCCAATGCTCATGATTGTTTTAAGAGCTTTTTTTTTTAATTTTGTTTATTTGATTAACTTAATCTCGACTATATATTAATCAAAACTACCTAGATTAATGTACTTTTTTATTGCTTAATTCAACTAAAATAGCCAAAGAGTAGAGGAATTCATGAGTTAAGTTCGGATCAAGTTTGCTGATCCTCATATTTTAACGATCAATTATGATCTTACGCGATTTGTTTATTTAATTATTATTGTATCATTAAAAAAAGAGACACCCAAAATGCAAGGAATTGGATGAGAAAGGTAAAGTTGATTCCCATATGGTTGGAGGGTATGTTTCAAAGCTATCAAGAACGGTAGGGAATTATATAAAAAAAGTATTAGACTAAAGTTCCCACGTTAATTTCATTTGGGCAGGCATCGTATTCCAAAGATATACAATTAGACTCTTTTTTCTTCTTCTTCTTTCATGTAAAGAATCTAACGGCTAATGCAAAGCATATATAGATGCAAAGATAATGGGAATCAGAATTAGATGCTTGGAAAATAAATAAATATATAAATAAATAAATATATATATATATATGTATAGCCTTTCACTGTTTTAAAAAGGCCAAAACATCACCTTTGAAGGACAAGCACTAACTAAATCCATGCCCAATTTGTCCACACATAACCATATCAAGCAAGTACATATTTTTTTATATGATTATTATGAGATACATATGCTTTCCTAGTTTAATAAACATATGTTATTTTCTAGGTATTAAACAAATGATATTTGGGTAGATTTTAAACAATATTTGCCCTCTGATCTTATATCCTTTGAACTATCTTGCAAGATGTTCATCACCAATCAACATTGGATCATTCACAATTTTATATAACTGGAGAAAATTCAATATAAAATTTGATCAAACATATATATAATAATTAAGTCTTAAAGCTTTTATGGCCACCATACCATTGAGATAAAGTATTATGTGGACTTCCAATTTTGAACAATTAAATTAAAAGAAGTTGTAATGTTTTGGTGAAAGCACTTGAAGTTGATAAAATTTTAAAAATATAATTAATTTTTCTTAATTAATCAAAGGTTGAAATTTTTAGAGTATGAATTATGTATATCTAAATACATAATTTAGGTAATAATTTATAAAAATTTCAAATACGATTAATTATTATATTTTGTATAAGAAACTAATAAAATAAATCAAGCAAATCAGTATATAACTGGATTACTATTATAAATATAATGAAGTTAGCTAGAGATTATAGTTGGCGCCAAAATGCTTATGCGGCTAATTAACCACCTCCAAACAGTAGTGGGAAGCAAAAGCTGATGTACCCTTGGGGTATATAAACATATATAGGCTAATGCCTCTCTCTCTATCACTCTCATTCCTTAACAAGAGAAGATGGCTAAGAAGAAGCATGTTTTGAAGGAAGATGAAGAAGATGGTTCCAACAGCAAACAAGTCTCTCGACCTGACTTCCCTCCTGACTTTGTCTTTGGTGTTGCGACTTCTTCCTACCAGGTTTCTTCTTCTGCATGTCTTTCTTGTTCATGTTTATCATCTTATTGCTCACAAATTCTGATCATATGTATTGATTCTTTGCAATCATTTGCTCTTAAGGGATTTCAAAGGGATAATGATCAGTTTTCATCTTTATATTCCTTTTCTCGTTCACTATTGATCATTAATCTGAAATGAGTAAAAGGTCTGCCTTTACTTTCATACACCCCTTTGTATGCTATATATATATATTTGTTCAGTTATATGATTGTAATTCTACTACTATATGTCCTTTCATAAAATTTTTTTGTTTCATATCTTTTAATTTTATTAATTCATAGCTTCAAATATTTTGGTAAAATTTTGAGAATCATTATTTTTGTGGGATGGCTTGAATTCCCTTGATGCATCACAAAGTTATTTGACTTGTTGATGTATGACTAAAATAAGGATAAATTACAGTAGCAACCTTCTATGGTTTTAAGTTTTCATTCCAAAACAAGCTATGTCATTAATTTTATTTAATAAAATTATCACATTATATTAAATTCAGAAAATATCTTTTCCATTCACACTTAAAAGATATTTTTATAATTTTTTTAATGAAAATAACTGTGTAACTCTAACATAGAATGAAATATCTTGGCAATTTTTTAATGTTCTTAAATGGACATCATTAGTGGAGTCTCTGCTTGCTGCTTGAACCAAAGACTCTATGACTTGTCTTGTCTCTGATTAGAAGACATCTTTCCCTCCTCTGCATATATATATATATACTGGCCATATCAGTGTAACTTGCTTGAAATCTTCTATATAAAAGGTAAAGAAAAGACAGAACAGAGTAAGCCTGGACAGAATCAGAGTATTTAATTTCCCCTCACTGCAACTTGAGTTGAATTGCCTTGAACAACACCCACATCACTGGTGCTGGTATCTATTTATTAGGATCAGACAGAAAATCGGGCATCAACTCACTGGTTTCTCGTTTTCAGATTGAAGGAGGCTGCAAGGAGGGTGGCAGGGGTGCAAGCATATGGGACGTTTTTGCACACACCGAAGGTACGCATACTTGAATATAATAACAAGCCCCTCATTTCTTAACCCTTACGTACTAATATGTATATACTAAAATAGCAGCTGACAACATGTTCTCCTTCTTTGAAGATTTTACTTATTCATTGTCTCCCTTAAAAGCCCTACCTGCAAATGATACTAACTCAAGTTACAAAGTTTTTGTTCATCTTTCTTGCATCATTAGGAAAAATTATTGATGGAAGCAATGCTGATGTGGCAGTGGATCATTACCACCGATACAAGGTAAGTATTGTAGGTACTAGCTATGGTCGACTTGCTTTTTTTGCTTGGTTTTCCCCCCATTTTTACTCTGCTGACTGCTAAACTTTGGCAGCTTTTACTTTTGGCCTTTGCATACATGAGTTGATACGCCTGCATATTTGGTTTTTATATTCATGCCCCCCCAACCATTCACTTTTGCCTATCTGTAAATTTCTTTTCTTTTGAGTGTCTAAAATTAATGGTGACATACAGGAAGACATCGACCTTATATCTGAGCTGGGGTTCCGTGCTTACAGATTTTCCATATCATGGCCTCGTATCTTCCCAGGTATGCCCATCTGCTCAAGATTTTAGTTTTAGTTTTAGTCTCAACTTTGCAGATGTATCATTACCATGGTAGAATGTAATATAGCATTGAGCATTCATTTGGCATATGCTTGTTTTCCCCTATAGTTTTGATGAATGATACGTAGATTTGGCTAACAGAGACTTGATTGGCTGGTAATCCAAGTGGGTTTTATTTATAGAATTGAGTAAACTCCTAACAATAAACTATCTGTATTAATTCAGAGCTTTTCTCCCAACAAAAAAGAAATGCTGCACCAGTGTTCTAAGCAGCAATTGCTTACAATAGATAAGATTGTCGATTCGCTCTGTACTTAGATAGTGAATCAGGTGGTACAAATGTGTGTAAAAGCTGTATGCATCAAAGTTTCAGCTTTAAGATAATTATCTTGGAGACCTTTTCAATGGATGAATTAATTATACCAAAACAAAAATGCTGGAATCTGCTACAACTCTGACATGGAAAACGGAAGGGCAACTTAAAAATTGAAGGGAATGCCATGTGTACTGTGCCTCTAAGCCATGGGACTGCAACGGGTTATGGGTTATTGAGTATTTCTTTGAAGAACAAAACATTATAATATGAGGACTGTTTCTAATACTAGTCCATGACTTCATCAATCATCATGTTCACAAAGAGTTATAGAACAGTCACTTATTTGATGACCTTTATTGCTTTATCTTTATAGTGTTACCTGCAGCATGTTAATGATGAAGCATGAATACTTTTGCATTGATACTTGCAGATGGTTTGGGAACCAAAGCGAATGAAGAGGGAATTGCTTTCTACAACAAAGTGATTGATGCCCTTCTTGAAAAGGGTATGATGCTATTTGTGCTTCATTTCCTTCTAAATGCAATAGATGATATACATTTTAAAGAACATTGGCTTTACACTTACAGGTATCAAGCCCTATGTGACTTTGCATCATTGGGATCTTCCATTGCATCTTCATGATTCAATGGGGGGGTGGTTAAATAAGCAAATTGTGTAAGTGTTTACATTATGAATAAATTTTTTTTTTTATTTTGGTGGAAGTTTTAATATGTTTAATTTTTTTAATTTACTTGCATATTATTATACTGTAACAGAGAATGTATAGATTACAAAATATATCATATCATTTATCAAATATATGTCCTAATATCACCATTTAATATTTTTATAGCATATATATGAAAGTTTTATTAATACCTTTTTCTATGTAAGGGAGCATGCATGGATGCAATAATGTTTTTAATTCATATTTTAGTTATTTTCATCTCTTCTAGAATCTATAGGAAAACTAAATTTATTGAATTGTTTATATCTCATTGCTTGTTTTAATATTTTTAATAGAATTCATAAAAAAAATTCAATTATTGTCCGAAGATATTGAATATATAGTTATCAAATAAATTTTTTAATAGTGCCGTCACCAATCAAAACTTTTACTTAGAAAGCATATTATATAATATAATATATATCATTCAAAATTAATTCAAATTTAATAGCAAAAGGATGACATTAAATAATAAGAAAATAAAAATCACAAAATGAAGGAAAGAAAACAACAATTCTTTTATCTAATTCAATTATAATATATCAGGTGATGTCAATTTTTTTCACTTATTATATATTAAATAATAAACATTTGGTACTATAACTTTAGGTATGAGAAATTAATTCAATTTGGAGTTCAAGTACTTATTAAAGTCCTTAACTAGTATATATATAAGGATTAGATAATAATGAAGAACACGTGAAATAAGATAATGGCAAACACAATTATTCAAATATAATTAAGAATAAATTATTAATTGAGGAAAATTTATTGAAATAAGGATTTCAATTAATAAGAAAATAAATAAAAAAATCAGCATTTTAATTTAATAGGAATTTTCTTTATTTATACTTGTAAAATCGATACTTTTATATATAAAATAATGATTAATGATTTAAGCTCATCCTATGATAAGTTTCGTGTATGCCTTTTAACATGAATGCATTTGCTTCATCCATTTCTTTGTGTCTTGAGCATTAATGAAGGCCATATCTTATTGAATTATGTTTTTGGGCATGGCATTGTTAAACTTTTCCATCTCATGCAACATTTAAGGAGTAATAGATGTTATTCATCTGGCCAATGTCCAGAGAATACTTTGCTATCTATGCAGATACTTGCTTTGCACATTTCGGAGATAGAGTCGAGACCTGGACTACTATAAATGAGCCACTGCATATTGCTGTGGGAGGATATGATACTGGAACATCTGCTCCTGGTAGAAGCGAAAATTCATCAGCAGAAACATATTTAGCTGCACACCATATGATTTTGGCGCATGCTGCGGCTGTTTCCGTATACCATAGCAAGTACAAGGTACAATACTTTGCTACTACTGAGTTTCTTCTTTTGATTAACTTAGTTACCTTTTTGAAAACGTTCTATACTTTCATCCTGTTTTCACTTCTTCTTTTAGCATGTTCTTATTTTTGTTCACCTAATGTAATGGCATGATCTCTTTGTCTGGTTTCTTGGCTATGATTTGGCATTTCAAATGATCAGAGTTGTATACAGAGATGCTGTCCAATGGAAAGAACTAGTTATTTGCATTTACTGGGGAAAATAAACTAAAATATTTGTATGGCTATGAAAGTAACCTTCTATTTTGCTGTTGCTGCTGTTGCTGTACCTATTTTGTAGGATAAGCAAGGGGGCCAGATAGGAATAGTGCTGGATTGTGAATGGGCAGAGGCTAATTCAGATAAATTGGAGGACAAATGTGCTGCAGTTAGGCGTGTTGAATTTCAGCTTGGATGGTAGTTTCTCTCATACTCCATCAGTGTTACTATTTTTTCTATAAGAAAAGATTGAAAGTATCTAAATGCATTCACCTATATGCACTTGAATTCTAAAGCACAAAATAGAAAAAGCCTACTGTTTGTGAAGTTCATGTATTTTCAATTGGAATTTAATTTGGAAGCATCCACCATGAATTGTTTTTGAAACTCTGGTTGATCACACTTATCTGAAAACGGATATGTGAGAACATCTGAATTTTTTATCCTCAGGCTGTTATTTTCTTTGTGCTGTTTCTATGTACAGAGCTTATTCTAATATATTACACACTGGGATTACCCAAATAGGATAAGAAGCTGTTGATGTTTTTGACTGACCTCCGTGACTTACAGGTTCTTGATCTATGATCAAATGCTGAAACTGTTTGTTTTCAAATACTGCTTTTCTAATAATGTTTATATACTAAGTATCACAAAATAAATCCTCATTTAGCTGGAACTCTGCATTTCTTTGTTTTCTGGTATGATCAGACACTTAATCTATTCCAATTCTCTTGTCACACACTTAAAACTCCACAAAATGTGTAAAAATCATATGAACTAAGGACACCTTATCATTGAACCATTGTGAGTCAAAAGAAGAAAACACTTAGCTCCACAGTAGCACGATTATATGGGTTGCACTGCAGGCAGGTTATCTGAAATCTCTTATTAAGTTATGCCTCTGGTTTTGCTTGTCAGCTTTTTGCCATTTCAAATTTTACTCACTGCAACTGTGCCTGAATTTGGTTTTGAGATAGAAAATAGCTCATGTTACATGTTAATTCAGGGAAATATCTTATTTTTGCCCTGTTCTTCCTTTTCAAAAATCAACCTTTTGGAGACCTTTCTTGCTGTTGTCTCAATGTATGTTTTGTTAACTGCTACAGGTTCTTGCACCCATTGTATTTTGGCGACTATCCTAAAAGCATGCGTGAGCGACTCAGGGATCAGCTTCCAGAGTTCACAGAGGAAGACCAGGAGTTACTTAGTAGCTCCATGGACTTTGTTGGTCTAAATCAGTATACGTCAAGGTTAGTATCTCATGCAGCGGAGAGTGCTGAAGAAGGTCATTTTCACAAAGCGCAACAGATTGAGAAAATTGGTAATGATCAACACCAGAATTGATTTCCAAAATTTCACAGTCATTTTATTGGGTTCTTCATCATATCATTAACGCTCTTGCTTATTGACACAGTGGAATGGGAAGATGGCGACATGATTGGTGAAAAGGTATGATACTCTGTCTCTCTCTGTCATGTGTACATGCCATAAGTATACTTGGTTTTGAGAGTACCATATATAGAATTTCCAGTCTTTGAACAGATTTTCTTTACGGCAGGCAGCATCAGACTGGCTCTATGTTGTTCCTTGGGGCATGCGGAAGGTTCTCAATTACATAGCAGATACATACAGTAATTTGCCAATATATATCACTGAGAATGGTATGCAATTCTATGTAAATGATATATGATTGCGTCTAATTTGCATAGAGGAAGAAATACTTATGAATTTGATATGAAAATTCATGATATCCCGCACAAAAATCTCTTTCATGCTGGAAATATGGGAGAGTTTGTCAAGAGGACAATTTAAACTTCATTTTTCATACAACATAGTTAGTTTCTACAGATCAAGAGCTTTCGTTGATATGCCTTGGATTTATAAGATACAACAACTTCAATGCCTGCAATTTATTTAGGTATGGACGATGAGGAAAATGACACTGCCCCTCTCCATGAGATGCTTGATGACAAACTGAGGGTTCGTTTTTACAAAGGATACCTTGCCGCCGTTGCTCAAGCAATCAAGTAAGTAAATACCCTTTCCACCTATATATCATGATATTAACCTTCTATCTCTGATCATATATATATAAACCAAAAAGTACTTCAAATAAAGTACTAGCATTCATCTGATTAAAATATACATTATGCATAGATTACCTCATTGTTTTGTCATGGAGAGCAAATAAATCATTGTGAATTTGATAAAAATATGCTTCAGAAGGAAGAAATGATGAACTTTTTCCTTTTCTTTGAGTTGCATTGACAGGGATGGAGTAGATGTGAGGGGATTTTTTGCATGGTCATTGCTGGACAACTTTGAGTGGAGTCATGGCTACACCAAGCGCTTTGGTTTGGTATATGTGGATTACAAAAATGGCCTCACTCGGCATCCTAAATCATCTGCAATTTGGTTCAAGCAGTTCTTGAAAGGTGAAGGAAGTAACAAGGACAATGAAGAATGATAGCAGATACAGTAACTGCCAGCCACCAATTACTCAGTACTTCAACATGTTCATCTGGATGCTCATAATTTGAGCAAATAAAGCTTGTGGACCTTTTTCTTTTCTCAGTTATATCTTTGAATAAATGGGGCTGGCGATTATTTATCCGCCATCACGCACTCCTCCTGTAATTGTTTCTGGTTATATAAATTTAACATGCTCTAGATCAATGCCATAAGATGACATTTATTGTCATCAATACTTTTTCGGTGATGGTGAATAATAGGGAAATTGACGCCGATATTGATAAGCAGAGGAAAAGAAAGATCTGTTTCAATCTTAGATGAAGAATGAGAAACAAGAAGTGGGAAACAGATGAAGAAGCGAGGAAGAGAGGAAAAAGGTTGAGCAGAAAAGTGTGTTTTAATCGATCAGCACTCCACGTTATTAAGATCCAAAGGTTAAAAAAGGTGTTTTACACTGATGCAATGAATGATTCTTTCCACCCCATATATCATATCCTAAATTAAGACATCATGAAAAAACTCTCCTATAGGATCCACTTTCAATGTGCCTATCAGTTAATTCCAATCACATGCATGCACCTAGAACACTTGGATATATATGACAAATTTACAGAAAAGAGGACAATCCCATTCTTTGCATCATAACTATATTATTCAAAATTACAAAGCCTGGTATTATAAAACTTTCCGAGGATCCATCTGAAGTTCCCAAAATTCATAGCAATTAAGGAACTCAACTCTCAAATGCTATTGCTGAACTTCAGTTTTGACCCTTAATTCTAAAATTGTCATATGCTGCAGGGTTAGAGGATTAAAAAGAAAAAAAAAAGGCTGTCAACAAAAGGGGCCTATCTTCCTTAGTTGAATTAGTTAATGTAAGGAAGAAATCAAAGTTAAGAAATCAGATATGTATACATCCTTTTCTTTCCCTAGACCCATCTCTCTTCCAATCTCGTCTCTTATGCATCATTCCATACCGTGAAAGTTTGGGCTCCATGGCAGACAGCCATATTGCTAGACCTCTGTGCAATGGTAGGAACTGCAGTTGGCACCCAGTTGTTGCACGCTGAAGCTTGATCATATGAACTAGCCTTCACTCCACCTGTTGATGATTGCTGGGAAAGATAATACAAGTTCCTAGAATGATATGGATCAGCTGATCCATACATGTTTTCGTAACCAAGTGTTTTCACTTCATTGTCTCCAAAGCCATTGCCCTGATTTTGGTTACTATCACTGGCTACTACTGTACCCATGGGGATCATGTATCCTCCATTGCCTCCATACCCGACCCCTTGGTAGCTACCACTAGCACCATTACTTCCAGCAGCATCTCCACCTCCGCCATTGCAATAGATGACAGAGTTAGAGCCAGAGCTATGCTCCATTGAAGAAGAGTCCATCGCCATGAGGTTGTGCAGAACTGAAGGCTGAAAAAAATTGTGGGTGCTTCCTAATTGTAGTTGATGAAGATCCTGGAAGGTGTGATTGGTATCAGAATCTTGCTCTTGCTTGCACCATACTCTTTGTCCATACGGGTAGTGCATGCTAAACGGCTGTGCTTGTTGAAATGCAATGGTAGGCCAGCCATGGTGTGCTGCACCATAATTGTTGATTCCATCAGTCAACTGGGAACTCATGTTATCATCATCTGCCCTTTGTACATCCAAAGCCATTTCTGCTTGCTCAACATCTTTCAATCGCTTTGCAGCTCCACCAATTGGCAATGTACTGCTCTCTAGTATGCTCTTAACATCATATCTACTCATATCAAAGTTGGTTACAGCATTCAGTCCTCGGAATTTTATTGCTGCAATGTCATAGGCTTCTGCTGCCTCTTCTTGCGTACCTATATAATTTTTTATCACAAAAAAACAACCGTCACTCGACATGACCATCTAAAACATCCCCCCAAAAGAAGTTTACAGTGTATGCTACATCAACAAACAAAATTGATTATCGAGTGAACAAATCATCAAATTCAAGCATTGAGTTGAGCAGTTCAATTTGCCAGTACCATTATTTAAAACTTTTTTAGCCATTCGCCAAAACATTCTATAAAGCTTAAACACATATGAAAGATCAAAAATTCAGAAATCAAACTTACTGAATGTCCCCAAGTAAAGGTCCTTGTTTCCTGCAACTCTTCCAATCCTTGCTTGCCATCTTCCATGTTGGTGGTGCCTGTTTTCAACCAAATTACAATGTTAATTAGTATTAAAAACTTGATATTCTTCATAGCAAAGTTTCTACAATGAACTCATTAGGACACCAAAACGATGATAATAAACAAAGAACAAAGCCTGCATTGTTACTTATAATCATGAATTAAATGTTTTTTAAAGAAAAAAAAATTGTAATTTTTCTCTTCCCTTATAATGAGAATATATTAATTCCAAAGTGCAAAACCTCTAGCCTAGTGCAATTGTTTGTTTATCCTTTGTTAAGAGCCTAAGACTCAGAATGGTTTTTGTCAAATACTGAAAATGATTATGTATAATTTTGCATATCATATTACCTTGTGACTCCTCTATAGATAGATGCTCCTCGAGAAAATCCACTACTCTTCCTGCATCAAAACCACACGTAAAGTTCAACCATTCATGCATTTGATGTCTGTTTGCTCCATCAAAGATAGATTATAAGGCCATTGTTTGTCCAGTGCTATACCTTCGCAGAGACGCAACATACTCCTGCCTGGTCATGTGCTTCATTTCTTCCAACTCCTTTTCATAGTTGCTAATCTGTAATTAAAATATAGCGTGTGTGTGTATATATATAAATATTATTAGAAAAAAAAGAAGATTTACTAATACTGAACAAAACCCATAAATTTAGGCAATATTCAACCCAAAAAAACTACCTAACTTTTCTCCCATTACATGACAAAATTCCTATTAATGGGGATGCCTTTTAGGAGCACAAGAACATGTACAGTTGCTCAGAGTAATATAAAACTCCCAAGACCTTTTGCCCCCCATTTTGTTTGGCTAAAGTAACTGCATGTCAATGGAAGTGAGAACATGGGGCAAATTTACAGGAACTCGTTTTCCCGAAAGAATGAATCCAAATGTACAAAGAGAGGAGAAAAATAGGCAATTAATGCACCATATATCAATGATTTAACCCTATTCCAGTTTGGGGAACAAAAGTGGAAACTTACTGGGAAATTTGTTGTTGTTGTGGTTCCCCAATACTTCAGTGCTGCTAAATCATAAGCTCTGGCTGCCTTTTCTTCTTTGTCATAGCCTCCTATAAACCAAAAAGCAAAAGCATGAGAAACTTCATCAAACTCAATCACCAACTCACAAAAGGAATAACCTAATCTCAGGAGTATTTATCCTTTTGTGCTTACCCAAATAAACTGCAAGTATGTTGAGGAAGCCCCACGTCAAATCATGTGAAAATGCAGAAAATGGAGTCAGGAGTTTGTAAATAATAATAATAGTAAAAAAGTAAAAAATAATTCATTAAAAATGAAGGAAAGAAAGCATATTCCAGTGCCTTGTGTATGTAGTGTTAGAAGCATCCAGGATTTACCGACAAAGAAGATTTTATAAAAAAGAAATTGATAGGAGGTCCATCAAGTAGAGCAATCACAACGTGTTACCTTGCCTTCCTTTACGGGTTTGTCCTTCTCTTCTGCAACTATTATCCCACAAATGAGCCTCATATCTACCAGTCCATCTATGCCTGCAATAAGCAAAACCCTAAAATCTTTATAAAATAACACAAAAATAAAGGGCAAAATAAAAAATGATAACGAAAAACTAAAGATTTCATGGTAGTATATGAAAAGAAAATAATAATATAACCTGGTTACACCACGGTATATGGAAGTTCTTTGGCCAAAAGTGTCAATAGATTTCCTTGGCATCGCTTCAATTGCACCGCTTTCGCTATCCATACCTGTCTGTGTCTTCTGCTGCTTATTATTATCGGAGGAAGAGCTCTCTCCACCGCTTCCGCCCCCAGTGCTTGAGGTGAGGAGAGGCAAAGGAGAGCCTGTTTGTGAACCAGTACTCATTGAAAGAGACAAGGATTGTGAAGCACCGCCATTGTTTTTAGCCTCTGGTTGAGGAGGTGCTGGTTGGTTCCTTAACCAAGTCTTGATCATGGATAAACCAATGGAGCTACTACCGTTGCCGCTGTTGATATTGGTGTTATTATTATTGTTAGTATTGTTGTTGCTGTCGTTGTCAACCCCACCGTTGCTTGTTCTTGCATTAGTCGTATCCTCCGATGGGAGCTGCAATGAACAGTTGGGAAACATGTATTCTCCAGTGGTAGTGTTGTACATGGTGTTGCAACCATGGAGCTTATTCTGCTGATGATTCGAGAAAGAGTGGTTTCCGAGGAAGTTTTCAAGCTTTGGTTCCTGGTTGCTTTGATCAAGGCTTTGGCCATTGCATGAACTACCCATCAACATGGAAAGCTCTGAGCTTGTCTTGTAGTTTCCATCTGAGTTCATGCCTAAACCCTTCATATTCCAATCTGCAAAGGAAAAAAACAAAAAGAGACTACCAATATCAAATATTTGAATACTAGTTATTAAGGAAATGAAGTTTTTTTCTTCTTTTAATATGATTGAAAAACAAAATGAATGGTTAGGGTTTTGGAGCTCCAGCTATTGACATGAGAGAAAGATGAGAAAGTGAGGGTGTGCTTTGACGGAGCGAAGCAAACCAAACCTTGGGATTGATTGTTTCGGTTGAAGGCTTCAAGTATGCCAAAAGGGGGAGGGAGATTGAGAGAAGGGGCCGAGGAGTCCGAAGTGAGATCGAAACACTCGCCAGACACATCGGCACCGGAGATGTCATTGGAGTTGAAACCGAGGCGAGAGACTGCGGTTTGAGAGTGATGGTCTTGATCAACAGGTTGTGATGGGAGTTCTTGAGGTGACAAAGAAAAAGCCAACCAGTTGTTCATGGAAGCCATAAAACTGAAAAGACAGGTTTGAAAGATTGCTGCTTTTATGGTTCACTGATGAGCAAAGGGAGATGGGGGATTAGTTCATGCATGAAAGTAGTACTAGAGGCGGAAGTGAAGTGACAGAAACCTTGGAGTAGTAAAGAAGAAAAGAAAGAAGAGGAAAGGTCAAAAAAATTGAAGAGAAATCATCTCTTCCAAAGCAAAAGATGAAGACTTATATAAACCCTTCATGAACTATAATCATAAATGGGGCACCCTTCTATTTCAAGGGCAGTCTTAGAGAATGATACTACTAGATATTTGGGTTGAGAAAGGGGTAGTCTTGTATTTGTCTCGTGTGGAGAGAAACTAGTTATCAAGAAAGCAAGGAGGTGCCCAAATCACTATAAAAGGACGATTTGAGATGATCTTTTCACAGTCTTTCTCTTTTGAGACATCCTTAAAGGTCTATTACAAACCAAACTTTCTCTCTCAGTTGCTTCCCTTTGTTTTTAAAGGATTGTCTTAGAAGAAAAAGAGTATAATCAAAAGGTAGAGGAGAGAAGAGTTAGAAAATGTTTTGGTTGCAATCTAAGAATAGGCAAGTTGAGCTTATCTTCATGCCTTTTGATAGATAGTTGAAGTTATTTTTTATACATGTAGGCTTACAAGGGCTAACACACATGGGTCACAAACCTATGAAAGCATGTGGTTTCGTAAACTTAAAACACACTTGTATTCTCCCCCTTAATTTGGACTTCAAAGACAGACAGATATATCCATCCTTGATTCTACCCACCTTATAATAAAAATTAAATTACCTCCCAATTACTTTATTACAATGTGATCAAAGTGGCTCTAGAAGGAGAATCCAAGAATTATATTGCAATTGGTCTATAAATATATACATGTATGTATATTATATATATACATATCTACTATATAATACTATAGTATCGTATAATGATTAAAATATATATATGGGATTCAAAGAAAAGCTTTTCTCTTTCTTTGCTGTGAAACACCTGTAGTAGAAGATGATATACATCTGACAAAGTGGGAGAAAAAACCCACACGCAGCCCCTTCCCACACCCATTTATTCATGCCCAGTTGGACATAAGTCATTTCATTGTCAGTGTAATCTGCTCCTACCACTCCCCCTAACCAATCCCTTTTCATTGCTCTCCCCTCTCTCTCTTTCCCAATAATAATTTTTATTTATATTATTATGTATCAGCTGAGACCCTTCTTCAGTCTTTGCCCACAAAACCCCATAACTTTCTCACATTCCATCCATCCATGCCATTATTTTACTATTATCTCCAAGTCCTAATCATCAAACTGCTCCCCCGCTACAAACGGGAGTCTCTTTCTCTCTCCCTCCCTCCCTGCTGTGCACATAACAATAATTCATGCATGACTGACAATTTTTTCTGGGTTTTTTAAATTTTTACATTGCAAAGGAGGAGAACCCTGTGTGTATTTTTTTTTCTTTTTCAAGTAAAAAAAAGGGTTAAAAAAGAAAATATATGGTGAAGAAGGGGGCTTGCTCTTTGCACCCTTATATGAGGACACTAACCCTTGTCTTCCGGGTCTCTGAGTTTTATTTCATTCTCAAAGCTATTTTTCATTTTCTTTTTTTGTCTCTCCTTTTCAGTTTTCAGGGACAGATTGGAAGAAAATCTAATTTTCATGTATCCAAATGCAACTCTCTCCCTCTTTTCAATGCTCTCTTGTCAACTCTTCCTTCTCTCTCTCCTTTTTCATTCTCTATGTTTCATTTCATCCATTCAAAACCAAAGGCCATACACTTGCTTGAATATGCCACGGGCTAGCTTTGACCTAGTTGCTCATGTCCCTCTTCTGGGGCATTTATCTTTGTATCATTTCCAAGTAATATAAGATAAAAAGAGTATGATCCTAAGTATATACATGCTGAAATACTGGTACAAATACGTGGAAACGAATACGTATGCTTTGATAGTACGAGCATGGGAGGGGGTGTACGGAGGCAGTGGAGACAATAAATAGTTTAAAGGGGTGGAGGTGTTGCAGAAAGGAGGAGAGAGACTCATCTCGAAGGGGGCAAAGAAACCCCACTGTGTAAGTTTGACCGTCAAGAAAGGAATCAAAGACGGTAAAACACATGGCCTCAAAGTCCTTTTTATTATATTTAAAAGCCTGCTATCTCCACTGTAAAAATAAATGCTCTCGGTAATCTAGTCATAATCATGCCCCAAGCTTAGCCCTCTTCTTAGACAGAGAAACACTAACCCAAAAAGTCTTTCACTTCATGTTTTAGAGAGAGAGAGAAGATCTCACTTTTGACCTAGGAGCCATCCTCTTAGGGTTGGCCAATATTACCTCCTCCTCCTATAAGTTCATACATATAGCTCTGCCTGCAGTCATATTATCTCTAATTTAAATTCTTAGTGTCTTACAAATCATGGTCATTTTTAAATCGATCAACTCTGGTAATATAAGCTTTCTACTTTTTATGACCCATATGTTAATTGGCGTTTATTTCCATACTTAGTTCATTAATTAAAATTTCAATTAATGGGTGCTTATATATGTATAAGTGCTGATTAAGAATAGTTCATTTTCATGAGTTCTTAATTCGGATATTAAGTCATGGATTTTGTGAAGGGTTTTTGTTGATATTGACATGTTGTAGAAGATAGTCGATGAAGTCAAATATAAACAGATTTATAAAAAAAATTAATCATTTTGTGGTGTTTTAAGAAATAAACATTGATTGATCAAACATGTTCAGTGCTTATTGATGATTAGGCATATGTACGTTATTGTGTCTTTCATTGGTTGCTCGTCTTTGGGCTGTTTTGAATGTCTAAGTTCTTGTGGTTTTTTATGCAAGGAATATATTATAATGTAATGTGTTTCTATTTTCTTTTAAGAGGCTTTAGAGTCAGGTGTTTTTCTCTCCAGTTCTTTGTTTTGGATTGTGATAATGCTTAAGTTTTTCAAATACTAAAAGTGACTGTATGAGAAAAATTAAAAAAATAGTTCACTTTACTAATAAATGTTTTAAGAATACTTTTTAAAGTTATCATCATACTAATTAAGTTATATTTTCAATATAGAAATTTATCACATTAATTGTTAACTATTACGTCAATAGAAAATTGTTATCATAAATAATAACTTAATTGATCTTTAATAGTTAAAATACTATATTTAGAATTTTTTTCATTTAATAGGTTATTCTCATTAAATTTAGAAAGGGGCGATACACTAATTGCAATTTTATATCTATAAATATCACATTAACAAGTGCCAATAGACACCCGTTCACATTATCTAATAACTTTTGTTTAGAAGTTTATATATAGTACCTTAGCTAATGTGGGAATAGTAGTACCAATAGGAAACAGTTAAAAAAACTTAATAATTGTTTGAAACTATACATGGGATACCCTTTTTCTCATTTGGTTAACTTTACTTAATCTTTTAGTAGTTTCTATTAAACAAATATGGTAACTGTGAACCATAATTCATGATGTTAACAACTTTTAATATTATTTTAAATTGCTACAATACTATATTGTGCATGGTTAAAACATTAGTTTGTTTACCTCACCGATTTCTCCAAACAAAAGATGTCAAGTTAAAATCTTCCTCTATATTTTAGTATATTATAGAAATATAGTGCCAATTATTTGTTCTAAACAGTCAGCATATGATATGCACACATGAGCGAGAGTATGTTCTTTATGTAATTCAAAATCAAACAACTACCAGCTACCTAACTCTCCAATAATATTTCTATTTTTATCCTAGGGTTAGGGTTAGGTTGGTATTGTATTTGGAGTACAAAAAGCATATTTTACCTATGATCAATGATAAATATACCGTCGGTAAACTATTCTGTTGATAATTCGTCGGTAAATTTTAATATTAATGAAATATCGTGTATTGTATATTACCTTCAAAATATTTCTATGGATAATAATTTTTTTATAGGAGATGAATTCAAGAGCTCTAGCAATGTTTTCAAGTATGAGATGTTTGGGTTTGAAATTTTGACTGCTGGCAGATACGGATTGCCCTAGTGCAATATGCGCACACCCTTTAGGACTGTGCACCCTGAAGAAATGAAAAGAAACTGCTTAGGACACATGAATGTACATATAAAATAATGAATAGGGAGCAGAAAAAAAAAAAAAAAAAGCTTGATGTGTTGGGAGGCATCCAAAAGAAGTAGTAATGAATGCCATGTGTAGATATTCCGATTATGTCACCCCAAAATGGAATGCCATGTGTTTCTCATGCCTGCTTGTGCCTACCAAACCCTTTGTTTGTTGTCACATCCGTTTATATTATAGCCCCATTAGGGGTCTGTAAGCAAGTACTATGATTCTTGTTATCTTCACAAATATTGGAATTTGGGAACCCTTTTCAAGGAATTTCAAGCATTTGTTTTTTGAATTTATTTGGTCCCTTTTCAATGATGAGGTTACGCCCTCAAGTAGGCTACAGTACTCTTTCGTCATTGCCTATCGTTTCATGAATATCTTGGAATAATTTTTCATCTAGCTAAAATCAGAACCGATATATTCAAGTCTTACTTTCCTCCACTTCTGTAAATCAATCTTTCTGCATGCATTTAACTTAAATGGGCTTTATTATTTTGTTAATAAATTGGTTCCAATTCTCACTCTCTTAAAAACTTTATTAGATAAAAAATAAATTATTTTCCTTAATTACTCGCATGATCTTTATAACTTTATCATACGGTTGACATATGGTGAGATGTTACCTCTATGCATAATAATAAGCATGATCACCTTCTCGAGATCACTTGAATTGAAGTCGTCATACATCCTTAATTTAGCCACGGCTGCAATGTTTTGGGCCAATGGAATGGGCCCATGGATGATTATTGGACGTGAAGTCCAGTCCAGAAATGCATGCAGCCCATGCTGTTCATGCAACAAGTCCATGCTTTTGTTACGCAGAGCATCCTCTGCCGCATAAACCCTTTATTTCAATTTCAATCTGTGGGATCCACACCACCACGTGAGGACACCCAGAACGCCGTCGGCCTCCTGCACTCTGCACTCCCATCCCATGTACCCACCTGCCACCGCAGTATTACAACAGAAAAAGAAGAAAAAAAAAGAAAGGGAAAAAGTTTTATGACAGTCTCCTATATGTCCTATACACTTCAATTAGTTGTTATTTTTTTTTTCTATAGTTATGGTTTCTTCTTCCTTGTTACGTAGTATCACATGATACTCTCTTCTATTCATAGTGCCACTATTCCAATTTTAGAATTCAAATTTAAAATCTTTAAATTTAAGGCTTAGGGTTTAAGATTTAAAATTTAGAGAGATGATCTTTGGATCTAAGTTTAACGTAAAAGTAGAGCCCTGCTAGGTAGTGAAAGAGCGATCGAGGGTAGTAGAGGTAGCTTCTGGCATGCCCTTCTTCAACTGTCAAGTTAGCGATTATTTATGGAGAATAGAGAAAAAAGCAATGCAGGTGAAAGAGATCGTTCCATCAATGTCTTGATTTATTTATATTTTGTGGGATTCTAAATATTATGTTAGTGTATTCTCAAAATAAAATATTATTTTTTTATATGAATAGTTATTTTAACTTAAATGTTATGCTATATAATGAAAAATTATTTTAGTTCAAAAGTTATGTTATATTAAGGGATGCAGTATAACTATTCAATTTTATAGATAAATTTTTTATGTGAATAGTTATGTCTTTTGGTACAATGATATATTGAAAAAATATCTCTAAATCTAAAAGATATAAGATAATTGAAAAAACATTACAATTCAAAAGTTTAGATATAAAAAGTTATCTTTTCATATTATAATTCAAAAATTATGTTTTATGAAATAAATGATTGTTTTTTTATAAGGTGATTATGAAAATAATATTTTTATTCAAAAATTATGTTTTAAAAAATGTAAAGATATCTTTAAAATAAGTGTCTTGATTAAAGAATTGTCTTAAGAAGTGACACTTGCAAGTCTATATAATAAATTTACTACGAACCATTTTGATATACCAAAACAAATAAGACTATAATAAAAAAATCAAAAGTAATAAAAGTGTTAAGTTCTGAAAATAAATATAAATACTTGAATTTTCATCATTTATAAAAAGAATCCAAATTTCTTATTATCTAGTTAAGGTAGAAAATAACTTTTAAGGTTAAACAATTTTACAAATCTTCGGATGTATCTAACGGTTTACTCTTATAAAGTATAAAACAAAGTTAAATATTGACTTTATTATATTCCTAAAGATATTAACATAATTTTTATTTACATACTGAGTAGTAGAAGTGAAATAAGTTTTAAAGTAACGTTTGATGAAAAGTTCATCTTATAGTCAATTTTACCATTTTCTTGAATTCTATCTAATCCTCATTTAAACCAACACATCAAGCATTAAAAATTAAAACGATGTCACATGTCTTGATCATTAAGTGTAAATACATCCCAACAAGTATGATTTTGCAACCACCAGGGTTCACCGGAGACGTGCAATAATTGAATTATCGTCATTGGCAATACTTCGTATTGAGCATCATTGGGTGAAAAAGAAAAGCAAAGGATGATAAAATTGTACTTCAATAATTGTATTAATTGCAGAACAAAGGAGCAAGCTATATTCATTAGTTCTACCTCTTCATCTTTGTCATTCTTTAGTGTTGCAATGAATATTAGATCAGATTTGTCGTTTCAAAATGAAACTAATGACTTTCCAGCTTTAATTCTAACTCTAATCATATACCTATGCAGCCTCGAACTTATGAATTAATCATAGGCTGAAAGCAAGGTAAATTTTCCGGTAAAAGTTAATACAACTAGATAGATTAATGCATATAGGTGATTAGGGTTTTGGGTATGGTCGAGAGTGGTGACGACAAGACACATGACCGGGTTACAAGCGAGAGAAAATGGTGGGAAGATTCAATGATAGGAAACCGCCGCCCACTTTGCTAAGGCCTCGTGGCATTCGGTCAAAGGAATATAGTAAGAAATCGGATCACGTAAATTATGGTGGGAGGAACTGATAGTGGCCAACCATGGTGCCTGGGAGTGAACGACGTTGCCTCCAGGGAGAGTGAAAGCCAAGCACTGTTCTATAATTTACTTGATATGTATGAAAATCAAGTTTGAGAATGCTAACCCTCTGTGTCTTAGGTTTGCAAATTTGTCTGTTTGTATGTCATTAGGCTGTTTGTTGTGGATTCGTATATAGTGCCTTTAATGTCTCTTACAAAGTGGACGAATGTTGAGTAATTTATTATGTATTGGAATTCAATGACATTGATGATGCAACAGCCATTCATAAGATGACAATTCACTCAGGCTAGCTCTGATATCTATATCTATATAGAGTTTCAGCTGCTTGAATCCATAACCTCAAGGCTATGCAAGCTACTTGCTTGATTTCACTGATCGTTTACAAGTATAGCAAAGGAAATAAAAGAAAAAGCAAGACCAAATTGATTATGGTTTGCTTACATTTACATATGAATTTCTACTTCAAAAATATCCTTCCAACACTATGCAATGTGCTATATTTGTACGAATGGTGTGTTTGATTTAAAATTGTAGAAGGTTTGAACTTTGAAGGGAGGGGGGAGATTTGAATTTAAGTTATGATACGTTTTTTGCCCTTTTATCCACTGTTTCCATGGTTAACTGACAAAAGAATATTAGTAAATTTTTGTCTCTTGCTATCTGTGATAAAGGAAAGGGAAAAGGGAGAGATGAATTAATTATGAAGAGGAGATATCCAAAGTTAATTAATTCATTTGTTTGTTGTTGGGTTGTGACACTATATAATGTATTCAATTGCTTTTGTAGTTTTAGACACAAGGATACAAGAGTTAGAGGTTATTATAAGGTCATATGAAGCACAAGAACCAAAGAAAAGAGTTAGTAATATTCAAAGCAAAATGCCAGTGGGAACTGGGATTGCATCGGAGAAATCAGCGGAGCACCCGTGCCTTCTTGGAAAGAATTCCTCTCTACGTCAAAATATATATTGCCAATTGCCATTGCCGTTGCCATTGCCATCCTCTCTCTCTCTGCAACTTTGTTTGCACTCTTATCCATGCAAATTGATTTTTATTTCTTTTGGCAAAAGCCAAAACCCTCTTATACATCAAAAGAAAGAAGAGATTTCCAAGAAAAGCAAGACTTTAATAAAGATGAAAAGAGATCCTTCTCCCATGCCCCCTCCTTTGCTCCCCATGCCTTGTCTCTCCATATGTTAGGCTTTCATAAAATTTTGTTTGCATGTATCTTTAATTACATGTCTTTCTTTTTCCCTTTTCTTTTGTTCTTGAATTTCTTACTTCCCATTAAAATCTTAAAGCTAAAACTTGGGCCATCAATTGTTACCCCTCCTTGATGAAATATTGGTAATGTTTACTGTCCTTTAATAAAAGGGAAAAGTAAGTTTGAATTTGATGAAATGTTGGTATAGTTGTTAGTATAAGACTACGCATTCACTTACAAGAAAAATTGGTATTACAGCATTAGGATACTATTGATTAAAATGGCATATGAATAAAGACATAAAGTCAAGTCAAAGAGAGAGATGGGATTTGGGCCTATTAATTTATTTATCTAATTATAACACTATAAAATAATGCATGGCCTCATGCGTGTCTGTGTGGCTGTCTCTGCTATCTCAAATAGAATCCTCACATAAACTAACAAGCTCTAGGAATGCTCATTCTTCCCCTCTTTTTCTTGGGGTTTTCGTTCACCTTTGATATACTAACCCCCGAAACCCTAAGTGGGGTTAGAAGTTCTGTTTGGGATTCAAACTTTTTTGACTTGGACCCTACTAAACTTTCTATTCATTTGCTTTGAAGAAGATTTAGATAGTAAAAGAAATTATTACATGTAGATTTTTTTTTAAAAAATAAAAAGAAAGAAAAGAAAAGAAAGAAAGAAGAGAAGCTCAAAATTTTTCTTGAAGATTGCAAACCCCGTGTCTTGGATATAAGTGTGTTATATTATTGAAACCCCATGGCCTATGTTGATCTTTCCTTGGCGTGTGTGTAAATTTGGTGTTTTTAATTTCTTTGTGAATAGAAACATACAATGCATGATCATGTATACACCTAGCCTAGCTGCATGCTATTGCGTATGGCTTAAGCTGATTTTCCTCCCATGTGTATGAATTATGATAATCAACTTGTTCTGCATGTGCAACCCACATTTGTTCAAGTTGCAAAAAGAAATTTCCCTAGTTAAGCCCAATACAAGTAAGCCCACTCGACAACTTCCTGTAAGTAAGAGATTGGATGGCATATAGTCGACTGGCAAAACAAGCTTTTTCCGGCTAAGTACCACAAAGAAACAAGCTTTCTAGGCCCAGCTTAAAGATCCCCAGACCAATGTTCGAATAGGCCTAACTCACGTTAGAAAGGCACCATCAAAGCCTGATATACGATCTTTACTTTCCACTAACTATAGATCGATCTCCAAAATTTTCGTAGTCTTTCTTGTATGCCAAATCTATTTGTAATTAATAAGCATTTAATTAGCAAAATTCAGAAGATTCAAACATTTACTCCATAACTTATAATTTAACTTAAATTTAGCCTACACAAGCAATTATAAAAATACTTTACTAATGGCCCTAATTTATTACTCAAGCAAAAAGCTAGGAAACCTTAATTGATTTTATCCTTATTTATTTGAAAATATAAAAAAATATACCTAAAATATATATTTTGTCTTGAACAATAAGCCATCATAAAAAAACCCTAATATGTATTCATAGAATTTCACGTAGTAATAATGCATATAAACACACATATGTAACAGAGAAGCATATATGCATGCACTACACATATATAGGAGCACTACAAATTAAAGTAGAGCCATGGAAAATCTCCTTGACCTATCATGGCTAATGGCTTTGCAACAGCAAAAATCGAAATTTTATGAGCCATGTGATCACTGCCAGAGTGCGAGGACGTCAACCTATTTTTGCAAAGATTGCATGATGGCATTTGTTTTCTGTGAGAGATGCAGGAATTGCTCTAGTGACCACGGAAATCATGATTATTTTCAAGTACATAATTTCCTTCATTCCTTTACGTAGGTGTATATAATGTATAATATATAATTATATTTCACTTCCAATACGAACCTTTTTTTGTTTCAGGTGTTCAAACCATCATACCGATTGGGAGTAAAGGTTCATGACATGCAAGGGCTGTTTGATGTATCTGACATTAAGAACCACACCCACAATCGTCATACTATTGTTTATGTTGACGTAAAGGATCAATGTGCATGTCGAAGAGAAGGTGGCTCAGTAACAAGGTACTGTTCGATCCAGTGCAAGGTAAGAGTTTTGTTTCCTTCTTAATTATATGTACTTACTGTGATTATTTTACTTTTGGCATTGTTTTATAATGTAAGTGGAACAGTCTAGTTAATATGTATAACATGATATGATGTAATTTTGATTCGCAGGTTGATGATGAAGCAGATTTGTATGTCCACAGTGCATATGATCAATTTGCAGAAGCTGCAGCTGTGAGAGCCAGTCATAGGAAAGGAACACCTCATAGATCTCCTTTTTATTAGCTTAGTTTCTATCTTATATATATGCTTCTATTGTAGGAAAGCAAGTATTAGGAATAATAAAGAGTACCTCGAATTAAGGTCTCCCTAGGGTTAGGTTTTTATGGCCAATAATGTTCTCAAAGGAAGGGGAAGCAATGCTTTCGTTTTCCTTATTGAGTTGTAGGAGTAAGACTATATATATATATATATATATATAGCTATGTTTTCATCTCTATTGTTTCTATCTTTAATATTTTATGATATATCTATATGCTGCCCATCTTCAAGATCATTTTTACAGTCAAAATCATTTTAAATTAATATTTTTTGAATTTAAGATATCTCAAATTTAAACGTATCAAGTTTGAACACTCAACATAGTGTAGTTTAAAGTTGCAAGTGGATTTCATGTAGCCATCATCGCAACATAAGCTTAATGATTTCATTTATTTGGATGAATAATGTCAAATTAATATAATGTACTAAATTAATAATTTTTAGATGTAAAATATGATAAAACTATAAAAATTAAAAATTGATAAATTTGTATACATCAAAATAAAAATTATCTCAATTTTATTAATTCATTGATTATTATACATTTTTATTAACATAAAATATTATATCTGATCTTTTCAATCTTGATTCTATTATTTTTAAATTTACTTTTTAGACTATAAAAATCTCTTTAATATCTTAAGTAGTTTATAACATTTTAATTCATTTATTTATATTTGTATGATCAAATAAATTATTCAAATTATTAAAATTATAGCTCAGTATGCAATACGTTCATTTAAAAAGCTTTGCATTAGTATATTTATTATAAAATTTTATGAATATAATAAATACTTAAAAGACAACTGCCCTTGCGGCCTGACCCGACCCAACCACGCAACACTTTCCTGTTCCATCCCATGGCCCAAAACCACCTCCCATATGACCCGACCCAACCGTTTGTCATTTGGATTTTGCACGGAGGATGCAGAGGAAAACAGAGTTGTCATGCTGATTCTATCAGGTAAGTCTAACCATTTTTTCACCTTATGACTCTCCATAGCTTTTAGTGTTTCATAAAATTTGTATACTATATTTTGTTCTTGATTGATGAAAAAAGAAGGGAAAAATTTCAATTGAGTCCTGTCTGATTGTTGGGCTTGATTTAGAAGTAAACGTTCTCCTGTGACATTAAATTTTGTATCTTTGGGTTGATGTATTTAACAAGAATTGTGTGTGGAGTGGAAGTTCATTGGCTCTTGAGTTACATTTTTTGATTGTAGAACTTTATCTCGGTTTTAAATTTTGTGGGTATATCTTCTTAAAGGCTGAGGTTGGTTTTTGTAGATGATTTCTTCGCTTTGAAAGACCTTAAGCCTCAACCATTGAACTTGATTGTCAGTCTTTTGGCTTGTTTAGCTTTCATTCTCTCAACCATTGAGCATCGTGGAATGCAAGCCCTGGAAGCTGGAAAAACCGACCTCTCGGACTTGCCCAAGTTTCTTAAGATCAAAGTTAATAAAATGCAGTTTCATAGATAGAGTGGCCTTTGGTCTCGTAGATTTATGTCTGTGTCTTATTGTTGCATTCGTTATCTTAGTTACCCAACCAGAAACCTTCGAGGTATTGCTCCAAAGGAAGTCTTGATAATAAAGCTTCGGAAACGATATACCCACATCCGCCACTCCTTCGATGAATTGCCTCTTCAAGATATCTATTCATTGAATAGTCAACTTGCCTCGTATGTTCGCAATGGCAACATTCAAGCAACGTGGACTCTCTTTTGTCGCATGCATTTTTCATGCTGTGGCCTTAATGCATATTCTTTTACATCAGTTTTAAGTGCCTGCTCTGCCTTGCCGGGCACAAAACACGGAAAGCAAGTGCATGGATTAATGATTAAAACAAGTGTGGATGCGGGAACAGTAGCCAAAACTGCATTAATGAACTTGTATTCAAAGTATGGATGCTTGGGTGATTCAGTTAGGGCATTTGAAGAAATTGAACAGAAGGATGTTGTGACATGGAATGCATTGATTTCAAGCTTTTTGAGGCAGGGCCTTGCTAAAGAAGCACTTGATGTTTTTGCAACAATGAGAAGGGAAAGAGTGCAGCTTAGTGAGTTCACTTTGTGTTCTGTGCTAAAATCTTGTGCTTCTTTAAAGGCTTTTGAACAAGGAAAGCAGATTCATGGTTTGGTTGTTGTGTGCGGCCATGATTTAGTGATTCTGAGTACTGCTCTCATTGACTTTTACTCAGATGTGGAGCATATTAGTGAAGCCCTGAAAGTTTTCTCTGGTTTAAACAATATGATGGACAATGTAATATGCAATTCTTTGATCAGAGGATGCATTAAAAATAAAAAGTTCAGAGAAGCATTTTCAATTATGAGTAAAATGAGACCCAATGTTGTTGCACTTACTAGTGCTCTTGGAGCTTGCTCTGAAAACGTAGATTTATGGATTGGAAAGCAAATCCACTGTGTGGCATTACGTTATGGGTTTTCTGATGATACTCAGTTATGTAATGTTATATTGGATATGTATGCAAAGTGTGGGAAGATTTTGAATGCAAGATCATTATTTGATGGGATTTTACACAAATGTGTGGTTTCATGGACAAGCATGATAGATGCATATGGGAGTCATGGATACGGGCTTGAAGCTCTTGAGCTGTTCAAGCAGATGAGGGTGGAAGGCAAAGGAGTTGTGCCGAATTCTGTAACATTTCTTACTGTTTTATCTGCTTGCGGGCATTCAGGGCAAGTTGAAGAAGGTCGGAATTGTTTTAATTTAATGACGGAGAAGTATGGTCTTAACCCGGATCAAGAACATTATGCTTGCTTCATTGATGTTTTAGGTCGGGCTGGTCAAATAGATGAGGCATGGTCTCTTCGCGATGATATGATTAAGAATGGTATCAAGCCTACAGCTCTAACATGGAGCGCATTGCTAAACGCTTGTAGTCTTAACCAAGATATTGCTAGAGGTGAGTTTGCTGCGAAGCATCTGTTGGAATTAGAACCAGATAAGCCTGGGAATTATGTGCTTCTTTCAAATTTCTATGCTGCTGTTGGAAGGTGGGATTCTGTTGACAACTTGAGAGATATAATGAGGAAGAAAGGGCTCAGTAAAGAAGCAGGAAGTAGTCGAGTCACTGTTAAACGCTACAATGAAAGTTGTATCATTAGAGAAAATCATATTGCCAGGGCAGTTCTTTGATAATATACAATTAGTTTTCTTTCATTTTCATTCATTTACTTTCAGTAACTTCTCTTGAGTAGTACCAAGCAAAAAACAAAACTTCTCTTGAATAGTGTACACGGTCTATTATAAAATTTTCCATATATCTAATTTGTTTAAGTGAATAATGTGTCCTGTATCCTTTCCAAGGTTCTATACAAAATAGAGAGCAAGTGTAGCGAATATAGATTTGAGTCAGGTGTTTCTCTGTTGTAGTATTAGTGGAGGAAATGAGTGCAAAACTTGTCCAGAAGCCAACGAGCTAAAGGATATAAAGTAGGTAATTCCCTTTCTGCCCTTTTAGTTCGTTTGGAGCATTTTGTCCTATACATTTTGATTTCCCTTATCATCCCTCCCAATGAAAGTGTTTGTGTTTTGAGAGTGCTTTCTTTTTTAAAACTTTAAAAAGATGAACTAAAGAAGTGGAGATTGAAATTGTGATAAATTCTCCTGCATCAACTAAGTCAACTGATCCTAAAGAGGTAGAATTTAGATGCTCGAAAGAGAGGGAAAAAAGGAGTATGAGAGAAAATAAATAAATAAAAGGTATTTTGGACTAACAAATCAAATGGTGCACTTGTTATCTTACCATTAACTTAAAAGTGATTTTGGTACGGAAAATGGAAATGGTTGTGCTCATTCTTCAAAACTGTGCTTGTAAGAGGGAGACATAATAGACGGTGACACATGCAAGATGAGAATCATCCTGCGCACCCTGTATGGTTCATGAATTCATCTCTCATGGTCCTAAAACGATGAGTGTTAATCCCTTTTGGATGAATGTTTCCAAATCCTTTGTGGGGGATGAAACTGGTTTATCTTTTGTTAGCCATGCAATTGAAAAGGCAGGAAAAAAATATGAATACATCAACTTGATATTGATTATTGCTGTATACAATGAGTCTGTATACTGCTTTTATTTGCATGATCATGAACAATGTTGATAAATACTACATGTTAAGACTAGCCTGTTCAAGCCATTAAAAAAGTAGCAACAAATTTCTAGTTTGAAGGAGCATTTGCCACTTTGGAAGTCTTTAAATGCTTCCTGGTGACCTTCTGCTCAATACCTAACCATTTTTTAATAAGTTTAAATACTGTTTCGTCACGTAAAAGTCCACGATGACTGCCAGCAACTCCTGCTCTCTCAACTGCAGCAAATCCATCTGCCTGAAAGATAGAAGCTTTGTTTGGTTAATGGTACATGCTGGAGAAAAAGGGTATTCATTCAGAATTCACATAATAATGGCTCGTCAAGTAATGAAGAAAACCACTTGGAAATACCAGATGGAACAGTAACAATTATAACAATCATGATTTTGAACTCTATTGCCTTGATTCCTGATTGCTGACTACTGTGGTAACCAGGGACCATGCTCCTGATATAAGATTACCTTCTCAAACAACTGATAGCCTACTGATAATAACTTGACATGCTTAGCTTCAATAACGTATAATTTCATATGAGGCAAGATAAATGATGAGAACTGCAGGGCAGAGAATGAGAGAAGGGGGAGGCAACTTTTTCCAGTCACTGCCAAAGAGGTCTATTGAATTCAAGCCATAAATCATTCCTTCAAAATTTAGAAGGATTCTGAAACTACTTGACCTAGACGAATATTTGTTTGCTTATGCATCTTAGACAACCCCAGAATGTTGACTTCCTCCGACTTGTGTTGACACGGTTAACTATAGTTTATATTTTGCTGCATCTGTTATCCTGATTCTCATGTCATGATGTAGTATATGCTAGATTGTATCAGGGGAATGATTTGGAAGATATTGAGATGGGGTTTTGAATGAATATTTAATATGGTATATTTCCTTGTTGGTAAACTAAGAGCTGTCTAATTGTAAGATACTATTCATTTTGTCTAGTCCCTTTTACAATGTGTTATGAACATAGAAATGTTTACAAATATAAGCTAATTAGTCTTTCAAATTCCTTTCATGTTCTCATACTACTACGTGCCATGTCACATAACCTGACCATTTTTCTGCAGGTACATAACAATCAAATCTTTGCCTAAGAAAAATGATTTGCTGTTTTTCCATTATGCCAAGGACCATCACAAATTTTCTCTAATTAAATTCAGGTGAATATATGAATTTAATGAATAGTTAAAGAGAGTACCATTGCTGATTCTGCAGGGACAGTTCCATCTCCATCTACGTAAGTATATTGAGGCTGGAAAAAACAGGTACAGAAACAGTAAGGATACAGAGGGTGGTACTTTAGTTTTGATGAATATTGAGCCAAATCGGGAGGAAATTCTTGGGAACAAAAGAGTAAAGAAGCAGTAATAGCTGGGATAGACAGTAATTCATTATAACTTATAAGACGGGCTAAAATAACGATCTAGATTTAAGCAGCAATATTGTTATGGTTCAAATCACAGGCTAAGGATCAAGCTAACATCGAATTGGATGCTATAAAATCAAATACAAAACTCACCATTGTGTGACATATTTCTGACAGGTCCCCAACTGGTGAAGTTTCTGTACCATAACTGCAAATAAATGTCATATGCGTTAATAAGCCAGTCTTTAAAACTGATGTAAAGCAAATTTCAATTTCTTCTTTCAAATAAAAGAAGAAAATATTTTAATGTGAACCTTTAGTCTTTTTCTTTTTTTAATTGCAGAGGGGGAGGGTGGTCATTCAACTTTAAAATTACTGAAATTAAGTTGATCTTTGTACATTTGGTAACTAGGATTTAGGAATTATCAAACAAACAATTCATCTCTGATATGGATCGTTAGTTCCCAGTTAAAATTGTACTAATATCAAATTGAGTAATGCTATTCGTCCCAACACTTTTTGTGGCACATAGTAATTAACATATTCAAGGATGATATCTACCAAATCATAGGTAGTCAACCATTCATAAATGCATGTTTAAAGCTGAACCAATAGGGAGGCTAATCCCAGAATAAGGCCACAACAAACTCCAAACAATGCCAATGCAGAAATATAACACCATTTAAAAACAACCTGGGATCTCACCAAATTTCAGTTAAGTTAAAACACATGCATAAGTTCCCAATTGAAGTTTACATATCTCAAAATTGGATCTCTTGAATTTTTATGTAGTTCAATGCTATAATTATTACATTTTGCTTTCTCTTAATCTTGTAATTATTCATCATGTACAGAGTAGCCAAAAACAGGTCAAGGATTCTATTTAGAGACTTCATGTCCCTCTCAAATGCTCTTAGACTAAACAAAATCCTAACTGACAAAGCAATTCAATCACATACCAAACATCAAATGGTGTGTCAAAAGATGTCCCGTAAATGTTATAGAAGCAGATTCCACTTGGTAGTTTAGCATTGTTGATAAGTTTGCGTGTACCAGCAGCCCAATTGAGGATGGAAATGTTGAAAGGTAAAGCTATCGTATTCCCACCATAATTTAACTGCAACAGCACCCAAAAAAAAAAAAAAGTGGCAGCAATAGGCAAAATAAGAATTAAATATTAGATTATAGAAGGTGCACAGACGAATGTGAAAAAACAACCATAAACTCTACAAAAATTTTGGCAGCAACAAGACTGATATTTAGAGCAAAGAACACTGAACAGACATGAGTAGCTTAACAGATCCAGTAAGCAATTAGCAATCATATCTAGAGTTAAAGTCAGGAATTCTGTTACATATGACAGAACAAACACCCCTTTTGTTGAGAATTTTGGCAGCAAGAAGAAAAACTTAAGGAGTAACACGTGAATTGTAAGTTGTAGAAAATAGTGACCTGACAGACCTGCTACAAAAGAAGTAACCACCATCTGGGATTTCAATAAAAACTTTTATTTTCATCAGTTTGGTCAAGAATTCATACTGAAGGAACAGAAAAATTTTCTTCCAGGATTGTTGCTACTTCAAACTGGCTTCTCATTCCACAGCATGAAGACTAAATCATTTTTTTTTTTTGGGTTCAAACCATAGATAAAAGTGTTATTCTTTCAGCACTACTCAATTAATCAAGTTTTCATTTCTAGAAATTTAAATGTCTGCAGGATATTACATTGTGTTTGGATTGGGAGAAGCATAGAGGGAGAAAGGGCTAATTGAGTATGTTACTCAGACTCGGGGGTGAGTATGGGATATGGGCATGTGTCCAACAAGTCTATGCTCAACTTTTTGCAAGTTTTTCCTTATATCTGGAGGGTCAGACCTCCTTATCCATGTTCATCAGATAGGCACCTGACACAGGTTCTTCAAGGAAAATGAAGAGTCAGAGCAACATAGTAATTTGAACAATAGAATGTTAAAATGCTTTCTGTTTAAACAGTTTTTCTGCCTTATCCTTACTCTATTTGAGTCCAGCAAAACTGTCTACAGAATTTTGAAGTCACTAAATTCCCCTCCATCCCTCCTGCCCCCTTAATTATTATTCTTAATCATGATTTGCTCTAATCTTCATTTAGTTCCCAATGGCATCCTAAATAAATAAGATTTAAACTTAGCTAAAAGAACATTTATATTTTGTCCAGCTTATAGATAAGTCTGTGAGAAGTGATCAAGACCTACACTTCAATGTTTCCAACATTGAAGTACAGTTTTCTTAGTTTTCTAGTAGATATTTCCTTAACGCAAGAAAATGTACTTACAAAAGATTAAGCAGAACTCTCCATATCAATTAAGTCATAATTACAAAATAAAATCACTCATACTTGTGATCAAGAATTTCCAAATGAAAGCAGAGTTGGATCAAACATCTCTTGTCAAGGACCAATGGCTTGTCAGGTTAAGTATCATAATTTTTTTAAACAAGGTATACAAGCAGGGAAAGAGAGAGAGAAGAGGGAGTAGTGCAACAAAAAAGGTTCATCACCTTCATTACAAGAGTTACCGTGTTCTCAAGCTAATTTTCAGGAAAAAAAAAAAAAACAGTGTTCTCAAGCTATTTAGAAAGCAAAGTTCTTTTTCTTTTATGAAAAATCTGTAAAGCAAAGTTTTTTGTTTTTTTTTTTTTTTTTTGAAAGATGTGTGAAGCAAAGTTAATCACCTCATTATGCCTCAATGCTTCATTGAAGAGAACAATGCTTTCAGTTGGGCTGTATGACTCCAGTTTAACAGAAGTTTCCCCATCTTCAGAATGCTCTCGCCAAACATTAATTTGTGGTTGCATTTTCCAACTAAAATCTGGATTTGGCAACATCTCGTAGACTGATGGGCACTCAACCAACTATACATAAAACAAAACCATAAATATACAAAGGCTAATGAAAGTGCTAAACCAAAAATTGCTGCCATATTTCATCATGTGGCTATTGAGGTGGGGATACTAACAAATAACAATTAATGTGATTTTCCTGGATGTGCTCTATAATATGAACGAGATGCTAAACCAAACTGTCACTTTGCTCATAGCATGTAAAGTATTAACCACAATCATAAATAATATCGAAGCAGCAAGCAGATGAGTTAGTCACCATATTAAAGAACTGTAAGAGAATCAAGGCAGAGTTCACAAAAGTCAGTTTGAAGTACAGCGTGAAAGAAACCATTCCCAACATTGCATTCCAGGGTGCACAGGAAGCACATGTACTTATCTCAACAAAACAATTTCAAGCATCATGTAGTAGAAAATTCTCCCCAAATTCAAATGTCCTATTTAGTTTTATTTATTCCCTTAATTGTTGTGAAAATTAGAAGTAATTTACAGAAAATGTGAAAATCAGGCATAAAATTGAAAACAAATACTGTCATGAAAATATTTGGACATTAGAAAGAATTACTTCCATGTTTTAGACATTTACACTCTACAGGTAATAGGACTTATATTTCACCATACAGTAATTAGAGCAATTGCGACCATTGCATAAGCAGAAGCAAAAAGATGGTAACAACATAGTAATTTGAATGGTACAGGTGGCAGTAGTTGTGATGCTAGAAAAAAAATGGCTACAGTAATACAGTGTACATGATTATTTAGTTCATCTACCCTAAGTTACACTAAGTCAACATGTGTTTTGCATTTACTTTCCAACAATTCAAATTATTTACACTTTTAACCAGCAAAAACCATATTTTTCTTACCCAAAAAATACGGCTTGCCAAAAGCTTTCCTTAGTCAAGCTTACATTTCTCTTTATATCTCTATATAAAAGAAAACTTTATATTTCTCTTCATATAAACTGGCTTTTCAGATATAACCACATATCTAACCCAATTATGCCCAAAACAGCCAGCATATGACATGATTTTCCAGCTTTAGCTTCAAGATAGGCATTGAACACTTTGGAAAGAGTACCTTCACTAACATAAGCATCCTCAACTTAAATTTTTTGGGCAAGCAAATCCCTAAGCATGTCAGATAATTACTATCCATTACCAGAATATTACATGGGTTAAATTGATTGCTAATCTGACAAACAAAGAAGATGAGAAGCACTTAATGATAAATTTGTATCCATCTTCAACGCTTTTAAGACATCTTCGTCTTGAAAATCAAATATCCATTTGTCATATACAGGGCCAACCACTCTGAATTTAGAAATTACCAGTTGGTGCATCGTCCACCTTGATACAAAGAAGTAGGCTTCAAAACCTTCAACAAACTGTAATCCAGTTAAGAGAGAATCATTGACACATCCTGGGGCACCTGTTAAGCATATTTGAGAATTTGTGATAACCGATTGGATATTAAAGGTGGGATGGAGGGGGAAGTTATCCAACGATATTACAGGATGACTAGCCTTTGTCAATTTTGAGATATTGGTCCTTTTTGATATACCATCACATGAGACCAAGCACAAGCAAACTAGTGGGATCAGCACTTAGTTCAGTCAAGCAAAAGCACAAATTCAACCTTATAATCTTCATGTAAGGGAACCCTAAATAAAATTAGCATAATAAAAAACCACATGAAAGGCTGAATGACAGAAGTTGTTGCTAACACAAAAAATGTAAGAAGACAGATGAAATTGAAATAATATCATCAGGACTTCCACTACCAATCTATAGTTCAACATATAAAGCCAACTTACTTCATAGATGTAAACAAAGTTTGGAAAGTTAAGACACATGTCATGGGTTTACATGCTCAAGTCATAGCAGTTCGATAGGAAAATGGCAACATGAATTATTCATGTGGTGAAAAGTGAAAGCATAGGCAAGAATGATACATGATATTTTCTGATTATTCAATCAGTTAATTCAGCAATAAAAAGAAATTATTTGATGGTGCCATAATGAGTGGAGAACAATATCAAGGAGAAAAAGGAAATTGAAACAGTAATACTGTAAGATCCTGTTTTAAACTCAAAACAATGGAACACTAATAGTGTAAGTATTATAAGTCTTGAAAAATATATCAATATGTTGAATACAATTATCTTAGTTATATGCTGAAGATTAATTATAAAGGGAAGCGGGCATATGCATCTGCATAATTATCAGCCTGGCACTGCTTAGCATGATTGTCAATTACAATGTATCAAAAGTAGCTAAAAATCTGTAGCCAAAGAGAATATAAAAATCTCTGTTGCTAGTCTGTTTAACAATAAATTCATTTTCCATCATTTAGAAGGCATTATATTTCAAGTCATTCATGGGACACATTCTACCAACTTTGCTCTGCAAAAGATAATAAATTATGCGTGCCACTAAGAAGAGCAAGAACAAAACATCAATATATAAAACTTAAAGCAGTATGAGCTTTCAATATTATTGCACAACATACTCCTTTCATTTACAATCTTGGCAGCTCAGAAAGAAAAAAAAAATATCTTATATTTGTTAAGTAAGCAAAACTTTGATGGTGGTAAACCTCTCTTAAGTAAATTTGCCACTATTTATAATAATTAAGAACCAAAACAACCACTAAATGATGGCTGACATGGAATAGTTGTGGTTTCCAAATCTCTGGGAATGAAAGCAACGTTTCTAAAGAATCTAAAGTGGACATGTTTTTTTGAAAGATATTTGTCAACTCATGTCCATTGTATGTGCCTACATTTTGCACTAAGAAGCTGCAAAGTGCATGTTTATAAACTCAAATGCTTGATGTGCAGGAAATTACCTTGAAAAGGGCACGCAATAGTAATCCACTTATTTACATATTTGGAAAATACCTGCCAATGAACAATTAACTTATCACTTCTATCAATGAAACAGAATGCTAGCAATCCTCCCATTGAACAATATCAACTTTGATGGGAGTTCATTTTTTCTTCAAAGCTAACACGAAATTTATAATGATTTTCAACTAGTCACCGAGAGAAAAACTGCGCACATCATTATGAAGTGACAAGAAACATAGCACCAACAGTCCTCCCATCGAATGTGAGATAATATTAACTTTTCTGCCTCCAGAAGCCTTGTGTGCAGTTTCCAACTTAACTTTAAGACCTTCCATTAATTTGTCAATCCTGCCAATAGTTAACACGCATCCATGTAACCAAAACCTATATAGAGCAAGATCAAGGAAGTTCAAGTAACTTCCGAGCATGAACAGAGTATAAACACAACCAGATATAGTCATTTATATAACTAAAAATCTTAACCGAGTGGTTGAAAATGAGTTACCTATTGCTTTGGCGGAAATCATAACCATATCCAAACAATGTGGTTCCTTTCTTATACCCACATCCAACTAGCATATCAATCATATCATGAAAATGATACACCTCTGTCAAATGTATAAGTTTAACTAGCTGGAGGATCAAGAGATATGATATCAGAAATAAATAACAGATACTCAATCAAAGTGCAAGATAGGTGAAACAAAAAATAACTGACAAAATCTGTATATGAAGACAATTCAAAATTAGCTGCGATATCAAAAATAGCAAGAAGGGAGAGAACACTCGTCAAGACAAACCTCTAACAAATGAAACTTAAGAGGAGCAACAAGGGTTACAACTGTGCGCTGTCAGATGGACTCAAACAACTTCTGATTAAATGGAAAAGATGAATTTTCAACACTTGCTAGAAAATGCTCATGAATTTGACCCAAAAAAATGAAAATTATAAATTCCCAGAGATTGACAGAATACACTGAAGCTTTTTAAGAAACTTTGTCAGACATATAAATTAAAATTGAATTTGAGACACTAGCACTCGGCAAACTAGTACTTTTATCCAGCTTCTTAGGATCTTGAATATTCAGCCTCCACCCTGTTTAAAAATTCTGTAATAGATGTTTCATGGTTTGGACAAAGTCATGGTCTCCAATGTGGTATTTTAATTTTTTAATTGAATGCAAACAGAACCCTTCATTGTGCTTAAAGGACTACATTATTTCATCAAATGGCAGAATTATTAAAGAGAAGAGCTGATTTTACCCAGGAGGGATCCAGTATATCGATTGCATATAGCCCATAATCATCATCAGGGACCAAAATCTCGATGTCATCATCTAACGATTCAGTATAACCTGAAAATAACAAATCCATCAACTTCAACACAAGTGCTTTAATGCCAAGGAGAAGCTTCATTCAGACAAATCCAAACCAAAAATAAATAAATAATGATTACACGTATCCAATATTTAAAGGACAATATTACCAATGGTAAGCATACCCATAATTTCAAGCTTCCAAACGTTTCAAAATGGAATCAAAGGAATTAACCCATAATATTGTACAAAAAGTACCACATGAGGAACATTATGAGAAGAGGGGGAGCTGGGAAAGATCAAGAATAAAGACTTTCCAGTTAGAACAATCAGGACAATAAGGACTAATTATTTATCGTTAGAAAGAAACAATATGAATAAGTTTGTTGGTTGTCTTTTGTTGCTGAAGCTGCAGGAAGCACATTGCATACTTTGTGAAAGAGTCAGTTGAGTAGAGATATCAGGTGATGGAGGTTCTGGTCTAGGTCTCTATGAACGGTCCCATTGCTTATACAGGGCATTGTAAATTCCTATAATACCTGTTTCATAACCCTTGTGACTAAACGAATAGGAATTACAAAAAAGATGGAGGGAAATATCCAGACATAGAATCAATTATAATAAAAAAAAAATCCGATTCAGCTAAGATACTTCTTATTTTGTTGACTTTGGCAGTAACCAAACAAAAGCCAGCATAACAAATTGTCATACTTAATCTTTCCCTTCATGTTTTCATATCAAACAAAAACTTCACACAGAAAAACAACAAACTTCATTGTTATACAAAACCCAATTTTTATCCTTTCCCTCCTTGTCCTCCACTTTCCCAAGAACCAAACAGGAAAAAAAACAAAAACAAAAATATACATAACCCAACAGAGAACAGGCATTTCTATACGTACAAACAATGCATGCAAGCTAACGATAAAACAAAAAGAAACAAAGAGTACCTGTTTCAGGATTATAAAGAGACCAGAGCTTCTTCTTGAACTCCAAATCGGAAAACAGGATCCGAACCCAAACCCGGGTCTCGAATCCAAACTTCTTCCTCTTTGAATGAAGAATGGACCCTCCCATTCCGGAGACAAGAAGGACCGGGTCTAGATCAATTTCGGGCTCTTCGGAGCCCCGAGACCCGAAACATGGGCACAAACAGAGGTCTCCCAGCATCGTTTTTACTAAGATTTAAATTCGGGCTTCGGATCTCCTGGTTTGACCGAGAGAGAGTGTGTGTGAGAGTAGGGTGGCAGTTGCAATAATGAAGTGAGAAGTCTTTGAGTAGGTATATAGAAATGAGCGTCGGGATAAGACCAAGGGTGGCTTAGATTTTCGCACTTTTGCACTATTTGACCCTTATATTTCTACTTAATTCTTATATTGTCCTACTACTATTATTTTTGGCATGTGAGGCCAATGTAATGATTTGTTACAAATGATAACATTTTTTGCAAATTGGGGATTAGTGTTAGATATAGGTATGCATTTTGTTTCATTTTATTTACAGAAAATAGCTTCCCAAAATCGGGTTATATGTTAGATTTTATATATATTTTTGTAGGATTGATGATAACTAGTTGGAAAAAAAATGAAAATAATATAACCACCCATCAATTGTGTAAATCCAACTTATTTCATTACAAATATTTATTAAAATTGGCAGCCATTGTGCATTATTAAGAAATAAATTTTGTAAAATAACATAAATAAATTTTTTTTATGGAGTATATAATTTAAAAATAATATTATATATTTTTTATATATAAAAATATTTCTTATCAACTATAACTAATGGTTATGAGAACAAGATTCTCATAGATATGTTTCACACTAAATATAAAAATGCGATGTCACTCAATTTAAATACAAAAAATGCGAGGCGCATCTACTATATCAAACATAATTTTAATCAAGAATTGAAAAAGAGCTTTCAATAATGGAGTCAAGATTTTGTGATTGAGGGTGAACAAAAGGTGAGTCAAGCAGTGAGGTTTGAAAAGTAATTTTACCATAATAGGACTTATTTAAATTTTTAAGCTAATTAAAATTAATTATTAACTAATTATTGTAAAATATTTTATTACATAAAAAATTATTTTAAAATAAAATTATAAAAATATATTATAAAATTTTAAAACTTTTGAAAATAAAGACTCCTACGAACCTCCCATTTCCTCCGCCGCAGTGACTGTGATAGTAATCTAGTTTTCGTCACTTAAACAAGACTTCAAGAGATGAAGGACAAAAGGAAAATATTTAAAAAAGAGGTCCAAGTAAGCAAAAAAAAGTGACAGACGTTAACGGCTGCGACGTCTTTTGCCATACAGTTAGCTCGTTTGCACCAAACCGTCATAACTGCAAGGGTATATCTCTGACTCTCTACAACCGATAGTATATTTCCCGAAACTGCAACCGCCACTCTCTTGAGTCCGAGTCTGCTACCTAGACTCCCTAAGAAATCAGAATCCCAATTTTATCCTTTTCCTTGTCGGTGAGATCAAAATTCGTGAAACGTGGCTATATCTCATTAGCTGGATTGAATGGTCCCAACTGAGCTGCCTGTGGGCAGGGCTAAGGAGGGACAGACAAAGATTTTCAATTGGATAGGTTGACAAGGAATCGGAGCAGCATATCCTTTGGAATTTTGCATTTGCTAGAAACACTACAAAATCATTTCAAGACAAGAATTTAGTGTTATGAATGTGACCCACCACCAATATAGACCTTCGAGATTTATTATTCTACAATGTACTACTGAGACTTTGTGTACTACATTTGATAAGAATATAATTTATTTTCTTACATGAAAAATGTGGCCCACCACCAAAAAGTAAGCAATTTAATTAAGGAAGCAATGGATATACGTATATCCCATTTTTATACTTTGACAAGCTATCTTCTTTGATACAAAGTCGTTGGGAATGTGTGTTCATGAAAATGGTGGCTAGGGAGATTTCTTAAGCTGAGCGTGATTGCGTCGCCACCACGAGCAATTCACAAGGTGATCGATGGTCCAAGGGCAAAAGATTTTATCTACAATTGCCGAATAAGGCAGTCATAGAGATCATCTTCGGAGCTCAACTTCTTCCGGATTCATTTTTTCATTCATCCTTATTGAGAGAAGAGGTTTTGTGAGTACTGTTTAGAGGATGTTTATGTTAGAAAAATAATGTATTTCATAAGATTCAAACAATTCACATTGTTAAAGAACAAGAGAGTTAACTGTCTTACATATGAAAATCTATTATGAGCTTGTTGCAAGTAGCGAAAAAAGATTGAACTCGTATGCACACGAAATTGAGCTAAGTTTTGAAAAAACATAGATTCCCTCCTCTTGCGCATGAATATATATGTGGGTTGGGTTCAAGTAAATTTTTGTAACTTAATTTTATTTTTCTTCGCAGCCAGTGATAATTGAAATAGGTTTAATGACTAAGTCATTAATCTTATCTGACTTAATCTTAAACATCTAAAATTTTTCTTTCTTTTCAACCAACGATAGTTGAAATAATTTTAATGACTAAGTTTTTAACCTTATCTAACATAATCTTAAACGTTCAAAATATTTCTCATCTAACTTAATCTTAAACATCCAAAATATTTTCTCTTAATTTTAAACGTCTAAAATATTTTCTTAGTCTGTTGTTGTCTGTTACTTAATATTCCCTTACTTCGCATGAATATCTTCTCAGCCAATGATAGTTGAAATAGTCTTAATGGCTAAGTCATTAACCTTATTTGGCTTAGTCTTAAACCTCCAAAATTTTTTTTTCTTCTCAGCCGGAAATAGTTGAAATAGTCTTAATGACTAAGTTGAAATAATTTTAATGACTAAGTTTTTAACCTTATCTGACTTAATCTTAAACATTCAAATTATTTCTTATCTGACTTAAAACTTGTTTGGCTTGGTTTTTTTATAACTTAAATGCTATTATGAAGCTCTTATGAAAAATAATAACTTTTAGAATTAAGCTGAAGTTGTCTGGTAAAATTTTTTTTATAAGTTATAATTTTGATTAAAATTATCGAGTATTTTTTTTAGATAGTAATATTGTAATTATTTTTAACAGATGAAGATATTTTTAAAACAAAAATAAAAATTTTCTTCCATTTTTAAAAAAAGGAAGGAAAAGCTCCTCTTTCCTAAAGCTTTTTTTTTAAAAAAAAATTATTCTTAAAAAAAGTTATTTTTTTAAAAGCTTTTCAAAATTTATATTTAAACTCGTTTTTACTTTTAAAAGATAGATAAGCTGAAAAAAAGTTAGACCAAATAAGCATTTAGTTATAAACGTCTAAAATATTTCCTTAGTCTGTTGCCTGTTGCCTAATATTCTCCCTCTTGCACATGAATATCTTCTTAGCCATAGTTAAAATAGTCTTAATGACTAAGTCATTAACCTTATCTGACTTAGTACTTGTTTGACCTGATTTTTTTTTCAGCTTATCTATCTCTTAAAAGTAAAAGTCATGTCAAATATAAATTTTGAAAAACTCTTAAAAAAAGTAATTTTTTTTAAAAAATAAAATTTAAAAAAAGAGAGGAGCTTTTTCTTCTCTTTTTTTAAAAATACAAGAAAATTTTTATTTTTATTTCAAAAATATCCTTATCTGTTAAAAATAATTACAATATAACTCTCTAGAAAAAATACCCTATACAATAATTTTAACCAAAATTGTAACTTATAAAATAAGAAATTATATAAAAAAAATTTACCAAACAACTTCAGTTTAATTTTAAAAGTTATTATTTTTCATAAGAACTTCATAATAGCTTTTAAGTTAAAAAACAATTAAGCCAAACAGGTTTAGTAACATTCAAAATTTTTCTTTCTTCTCAGCCGAAGATAGTTGAAATAGTCTTAATGACTAAGTTGAAATTGTTTTCGCCTACCTTACTCAAAAACACACCAACCCTCTTTGTCCAAAAAATTTCTTATCTGATTTAGTCTTAAACGTTTAAAATATTTCCTGAATTTGTTACCTGATATTTCTTAAAAATCCAAAACATTCTGTCATCTAACTTAGCATCTTGATTTACTCTGATTTTATGTTAATTTTGTACTAATTTTCTATAACATTAACTTTTTACTTTGCCTATGAATACAGCCTACCTATTTCACTCAAAAACACACCAACCCTCTTATCTTCTCTAAAGCTTTCTCTGCATATTCTTTCTCTTTTTTTTTATTTGACTTATCTTAAATGTCCAAAATATTTCTGGAGTCTATTTACTATTGCCTGATTTTTCTTAAACATCCAAAATATTCTGTTATTTGACCAAGCATCTTGATTTATTTTAATTTTATGCTGATTTTATATTGATTTTCTATAACATTAATTTTATACTTTGCTTATAAATACAATCTACCTACCTGACTCAAATACACACCAACCCTCTCATCATCTCTAAAGCTTTCTTTACATACTCTTTCTTTATTTTCCTTACTCTCGTGTTGGGTTTTGATTTTCGAAGAAAATCTTTCTATTATTCGTGTTATCCCTTAATAATTTATATAAATTATAAAAAATAATCTGTTGAATCTTGAAAGATAGTCACTATAATCTTTTTACATAAAGATTTATATTATGAAAGAACGAAAATTAACTTTAAAGACAATAATTTCACAACTTAGACTTTCTACTATTTTACTTGCTTCATTATATTTTTCAATTCTTTCTCAATTTATTTTTGATAGTCTATATATTAAAGAAGTCTTCAAATGTTAACACCCTCCTCAGCTCTTGTCTTGGTCCTTTTTGATTAGACAATTTATACCTCATCATAGACAAAAACAAAGAATTAATAAGGATAATCAATTATAAGAAACAAGCAATTGTTAGCTATAAATCCTCCAAAGATTACTCACAAATGAGATTCAAAAATCCGTTATGAACCATCTTAGGTAAAATTTGCATTGCCCTTGACACAATGTTGATTTGAATAAGTCCCAAATCATCATATTGTAAGAGCAACCATTTGGCAAGCAGCCATCCACTTCCATTTTCCTAAACAACTCATATGCTTCATTTGGTAGCCCTTCTTTATAAAGTTCTTTCATCATTATAGTATAATTGTAAAAACTAAGGTGTAACCTCTTCACTCTAAGTGCACAAAATAATTTCTTTCCAACTCAAGTTGCCCAACCTGAGACAAGCCATCAAGGGGATGCCATCCTGGAGCATTTGCCTTGTCATAATGCAAACCATCACTCCCAGAAAGCCGTAAAAGTTTCATAGCGAAGGAACTTCCTAGACTATATCCA